TTCGGACACGCACAATCTCAACTCGTCCTTTCCAAATTACAACTTTGTCTCTTCCTCATGAACGTTTGGTCTATTTCAAGTCCAGGTGGGATCTCCACTATTTTTCATATCAATTTTCCAACCTTTTTAAAGCAAAATCGAATGGTTTTTTTTGTAATGCCTTTTTTGTTTCTTTCACATCATAAGAAAAATATATTCGAAACAATATAGAAAATCGGTACGTGCGGGGATTTCAGTTTCCTCTAGCCTGCATTTTGATTTCTCAACATTAAAAATGTATAAAACAAAAGAAAAATTCCTGTTATTATTCTGGTGAACCACTCTCAAAGATATTTGTAGCAAAAAGTAATGGAGGACACGTAGGGCCGAAGGAACAGACAGATGGTGTGTGGCTAAGCAACTGTAGTCTCTCTCTCTTCCATGTCCTAAACCCATGTCTCAATACACATTCTCTTCAAAAACTCATTTCCTCTCCCGATCTCTCCATTATATATAATATATATCTCCTCTCTCCCTTCACTCATACATGCATTGATCATTTACATGAAGAGGGAGAAAAAGAGGCAGAGACTCGAGAAAGAGGAGGAAAAGAAAATGGAGGTAGTGGTGGTGGAGGAAGAAGATGCGTTGGCTGCTGCTGCGACGGTGGCTGCGGCTGCGGCGGTGAAGGAGGAGGAGGAATTGTGGGGGATGAGGCTTAAGGAAGAAGGAGGTGTTGTGGTCGATGAGATGATGACGTGGAGCACCTTTTGGCTGCCTTCATGTTGGGACGTGGAGTTTGTTGAGAAAAACTATGGAGTTTTGTTCGGTGATGTTGTGTGGGAAGATGATCTTTGGAATTTGAACACTTCAAATCAGCAGCTTCCTCCTTTAGATGAGATCAAACGAGATTGAAGTAGAGATTCAAGGTTTTTCAACCGGTTCGGTTTTTGGGATTTTTTATGGTTTAGTATGAACCATATTGTAATCAAAATTATATGTTTTGATTTGGTATGGATTCATTTTAAGTTTAGATCATGAGTTTTTTTTTATAAAATAATATCCTTAATCTGAGGATTTCTTTTATATAGAAAAATAAAGTTGGTTTTGGCCTTTGGTTTTTTTTCCCTTCATTGGTTTTGGGTTTTCCGGTTAGGAAAATAAACCGAAATTTGTTTGTTTTATGGTTTTTGAAACGAAATCAATTGATCGTTGTTTACCAATACTTATCTACAAGCTTACTTGTTTCAAGTGTTCCGTAAAGATATTGATTCTAGACATGTCCGGATCATATCTCATTTTTTACGACCAAATTTTGGTTCTATCTTGTAAGCATACTTTTACATGAACCTAAGACCTTCAAATATCTAAAGTAGTCGCATAATAGAATAAGAAAGAGTTTATAAATCACTTATTATTATAGGTGATTAGGTTTTTTTCTTCTTGCTTATAAACTCTTATGTGTCTGCCTTTCAGGATGCTTTTACAATAGACTAAAGACATAAATTTATAGGTAAAGAGAGGACATAATTTCTCTTTAAGTTTTTTCTTAAATTAATCTCAACCGTTCATTAAAATAAAGATTATAAAAAAATACTCTTTTGTATTTAAATTAATTAATTACCCAGTTTGTTATGGAATAGCAATAGCCCAATAAAAAAATGGATTAATATAAGATCATAGGGAAATAATTTATCTTACACCATCATCATTTATACATACTGTTATTTTGAATTCCTTTGACTGGTTAGTAATCAGTTCTTACTTCTCATATTCCCATCTCCGAAGCCAGATAAGTTCTCAGGTCATTTCCATTTGGAAGTCATGTGAAAAATTCAACATTTCTAACATATCTCACTCTTTTTCTTGTTTCATAAATCATTACACAATTTGTTATTTGATTTATATGTCTTTGTTCTGTGAAGATCTATCGGTAACCATAACTTACATTAAGTTCAAAGAAAAAAAAACTTACATTTCATATTCCCTAGCCTGCTCCGAAAGTCAGTTAGGCTCTCGAGTCCGTTTAATCGTTGGAGTCATGTGGAATAAAAAACATGTGATCAAGAATCCAAGATCCATCGATCCTTGTTTTCTTCTTATGTTTACTTTTCTAATTTTTTCACATTTTAATTAATTAAATTTATTTGTTCTGATTATTAAACATGTAATTATAGTTTTAAAATAAGTAACACGTATCTCGCTTTTATGTACAAACACATGTGCCAAAATCGTAAAATTATCGAACACCATAAGTTGTAATGAACAAATAATACAAAGCCTATTTAACCACCAAAAAGTGTAAAATTTAAATTTAAAGCGAAGTAGATAGAAAAGAGGGCGCAATAGACAAAAACTAACCGAACTATTCATCATACGGCAAAAGAGCTTGGTACTTTGGTTTATAGATAGGCATTTTGTTCATCATACGGCAAAAGAACCGAAATATTTCATCCTACGGCAATATTCATCATCATATGATGTAAATCCGGTGAACAGTTTATACGCCGTGGGTTTTAAGATTGGCATTGCTGAATATTGAGTAACGAAGTGTGGAACATTTTACCAAACTAGAATAATAGATCCACAACAGTTAAAAAGCAAGGTGTAAAATAAAAGGACATGAGAAAAAGAAAGTGAGACAATGACAAGAAGAAAATGGCGAGTGAAGTGGAAAAGAAGACAAGCTTGACATCAAATACTCCTCACGCTCTCAGTTCGATAAGACTGATAGAAAGGAAGAAAATATCTCAAGTACCAAAGTCTCCTCAATCTCTTAATAAGCACATCTTATTATTTGAAGAAGGTTTATGGTAAGAAGGTTAACTTGCTGTTTCTTTATAAAAAAAAAAAGTACTATCTATAGTTTGACTGGTTTATCATATTTGTTATTTTGCTACTAAAAATGTGAGCAAGTGCATTTTCTCTCAAGAGAATATATTGAATTTGATATTTTAGATGAATTGGGGTGATTTCATCTTTAAGATGATGAATTTGGAAGTTGGAAGTTGTTATAATTTTTTTTTTTTTTTTTTGAAGTTGTTATAATTTTAATGAAATCATTATAGAGTTTTGTCATCTAAAACCCATCAATTTAAATATTTCCACTAACACTATTTCCAATCACAAGTTCAATAATACTGGATCAAATATAACTATTTCAACAGAAATTTGTCATTTTAATACAAATCATATATATTGTTATTAGCCAAACAAATATAGACAATGTGAATCTGATATTACATTTTACATATACAGTTATACAGTTTCTTTTTTTTCTTTTTATTATTCTTATTAGACATACCCATGTGACCCATTGATTGACACCTCTTGACCAGACATATTTTGTTTGTCAAGAAACATATATAACATTTGTTTGACTATACTTACACGAAGTTGAACACTATCATATACTATTTCTTCAGATTTCAAACTCTGCTGTAGATAATTATTTTACATTATAAAACAGTATGTTTTGCGTGGCACATAATCGTTGCTAGGCCTGGGCACGGAGCGGATATCCGGAAAATATCCGTGATCCGTGATCCGCTCCGTGTGATCCGGATAGTTGATTTTGCGATCCGCTCCGATCCGAAAATTTCCGGATATCCGGATTCCGGATATCCGTCAAAAATTAAAATATCCGCGGATATCCGATCCGATCCGTAAAATATATTTAAAAAACAAAAAAAAAATATATTAATTATAAATAATTGAAAATTAGATAGAAACATCCTAAATATATTATTGTTTCATAATTTATAATATGCCTTTAAAAATAAGTTCTAAAAACGTAAATTAATTAATCATAAAGGTACCACTAAACACATCATCGTTAACAATAAACATACTGCAAAAATAATTTTAAAGTTTTAAGTAAGCTATTGCTACGTTATTAAACCTTTTTACTATATAAATGAATGGATTATATTTGTGAAAACAATACTTTTGTTGATTTGTATGTTTCTAAAGACAAAATGAACAAATTTCTTAGTATATATGTATATATATGTAATTTTTATAATATACGGATCGGATCGGATATTCGGTTTTTCAGAAACAATATTTGCTATTTGCTCCGTTTTTAACGGATATTGAATTTTAGTATTTGCTTTGATTTGTATCGTTACGGTTATCCGGATTTTTCGGATCGAATCGAAGCGGATAACAGATCGAATCGGATATAGCGGATAATTTGCCCAGGCCTAGTCGTTGCTACTTCGTCTCCATCGATATCTTGTATTCAGTTTTGACCACCGACACACACACACCGGAACGTAGGTTTTAGCTTCTTCTTTTCGCGTTTCATGTTCCCATGTTGATGTACATTTTCTTCTTTAAATCTCCGTCGGGTAGCTAAAAATATAAATTGTCTGACCTAATAAATTGCATCCATTTTAATTCTCAACGCTACAGAATCGCACCCATCTTGGGAATGTAACTCATGATTATCATCTTTTCTTTGCATACAATTGTTGTTGGACCACTCCATTAATCAACGAAATTAAATACTAAGAAATTTATAATATTGGACCATATTCTTAACCAACCGAGGAATAACCAGAGAAATCAAAGGAACATGCATGTGACGAGGAACCCAAATCAGTAACATTATTGAGAAAATGTTATATACCTACTGTCAACAGGAAAATAAGTAATTACAAAAACGTATATAAAGTATACTTTTCACGTAAAAATTGTTTCACTTTTAAGTATGTTGTTGGATATTTATACATAACAGCTATTTTTTTTATTTATACAATAGAGGAACAAAACAGAGACATAGAAAACGACGGAGACAGAGACACCCTTAAATTACAAATGAGTCAATGACATAGCATGCCCGGCATCTTCCTCCGGCAGCTCCATCTCATTAAAACACTGAGAGAAAGAGAGAGATGTGATGAGTATAACAATATCTGACCTTCTTGTCATATCAAAACAAAAATCTCTCACATTTCTTGTTACCTATCGAAACATTCTTCTTTCTTGTTCTTGATCATCTTCATTATATCTTCTGTATGGGTTGTCGAGATATTCTCTTGAGTTTCTCCATCGCTCTCCTACTCATTTCTCTGTTCCAGATCTGGCTTTTCCGGGAAGGACCATCAGCAGACAACCAGCTCAAAAAAGACGGAAACACCCTCGCCTCCGGGAACAAGAAGTACGACGATGTTCAACGCCTCTACCAAAGGTATTTCAAGGGTTTAGACAAGAACGACACTCGGTTTGAAGATTCCAAAAGAAGGATCCCCAGTGCCCCAGATCCCCTCCATAACTAGTTAGTTCCTTTTGGCTTCTATTCTTTTATTTTCTTTCATCTTCTTTTCAATTCTTATCGTTACCCTCGTCTTTTTACCTCACTTTGTTTGTGTGTCTTTCTTAAATGAGACCATTACTAGTTATATCACATTGGAAATTGAAAGATCGTTAGCCGTTGTAAAGATCAAACATATGGCATGAGTTTGCTTTTACCAAGCTCCCTATACTAAATAGTCTACATCAATAATATATCTTTGCAATACCTAATTAGGTTTGTTTACCAAAACTGTACAGTTACATTCTCTTATATACAAAGTTACAAACTGGTTTGATCTAACCAATGATGCCAATCTTTAACCACCTTAAACACTTGGCTTATCCAAACTGTCGATACTCTTAATACATCCACATATCATAAATGAAACAACCAACATTTTTTTTTTTTTAATAAATATTAATCAATTCTAGCGAAGGTCTTAAAAAAAATTAAATAAATAAAATATCAATAACAAATAAATCAGCTCAGCGGAAGCAAATAATAATTAAACAAGTCTAGCAAAATAATGCAAAACAATAAAACAGTAAACATCCTATCATCCCCCTCTTCAGCCTTGATTCCGCGATCACACAAATCTTTTACCTGCAACACATTGGAATGGAGTTGCGTAAGTATTTAATAAATACTTAGTGAGGCAATCACTCTGCCTACGAGCCATTTACGCAATTTACTAGATATTTAATAATATTTATAAACTTCAATAATTATTAAATACCATTTTCCAATTATTAAATAATTTTAATAATTAAAACTCAATTTCTCAATTATTAAATAATTCTCATAATTAAATAATAATTTTCCATATTTTAAAATAATTAAAATAATTATTTTAAATAATTTATTTAATTAATTAAATCCGAATTAAATCTATTTAATTCCATTAAACCAATTAAATTCAATTAAACCAATATAAACCAATTAAATTCAATTAAATTCAATAAACCAGATTAAACCACACAAACACACAATTCATCACATGAACAACCAAAATATCATAAAAATAACAATTAAAACATAAACTCATCAAGAACAACCACAAACCAAATCTAATCTAGCAAATCACGGACCCACAGTCATGCACTCACCTTGACAATGATTGAAACTGAAGGAAAAAGGAAGACGATGAACAGTGCCGAATCGCGGATGAACAGTAACCCGTGAACAGTACCGATGAACAGTACCCGATGAACAGTGCCGATGAACAGTAAAATTCGAAAATCTCTCCAAAAACTCAACTTTTCTCCTCTACAGCATCTGAACTCGAAAATTCTCCAAAGAGAAGACGGCTGCACTCTTTAAACTTGATTTTAGGGCTTTCTCCACTAAACCGACCCAAACCAATTCACTTAAATTGAACCGACAAAATTCCCAATTTTTATTTTTGGTTTATGGATGTTACAACTCTTCCCCACTAAACTGGATTCGTCCTCGAATCCCAACGCAAACGTCACAAAGACCACAAAACCCAACCTCGCAAGGCCGCAACACCGGAGATCCTCACTTGATCCCCGAGACAAACGTCATATCTTATGTCATAAACACGTTCCAAGAAAATTTCACTCCTAACTCATCATCCAAACACACCAAACAACTTGTACTGAGGCCCACTTGCACCCAGACAAGTCCACACCGGTCCGCACTGAGGCCCACTTGCACCCAGACGAACCCGAAAACGTCCATACTGAGGCCCACTTGCACCCAGATGAACTAAACTGCTTATACTGAGGCCTACTTGCACCCATATAAGCTACACTCAACTGAGGCCTACTTGCACCCAGAGAGTCTGCCAGAGAACGAAGTCTCCAAAAACATGATGAGTTATTCAGGATCGCAATCCTTAGAGTAAAAATTCCGGAAAATGTCTATAACCATAAGATTAGACCGTCTCACAACCAAAAACTGGTCAAACATGTGTAACATCCGAATACCTTTTCACAACACAAGGCAAAATGAGGAAAAACTGCATCTCATTAAAACTCCAAAATGTATATCGTTACAACGAAAACGAAAATACAATAACACCAAAGCCAAAAATAACAACTGAGGCTACAAAGATGAAATAAGCTCACTCCTCGACCTGCTTGTCGAACCACTTCCTGAACTTCAACTTCATCTTTGCCTCTGGCTCCCAAGTCTCCTCTGTAGAACCACTGCAATCCCACAAAATCCTCAGTAAGGGAATCCTCTTGTTCCTCAGAACCTTTTCCCTCCTCTCTAAAATCCTCACAGGCACTGCCGGCACTGTCAAATCTGGCTGAAGATCCTCTGGAATCCTAGCCACTAACTCCTCTGTAGGGTGAAGACACTTCCTCAGCATCGACACATGAAAAACCTTGTGAAAGGCTTTCATAATCTCAGGCAACTCCAGCCTGTAAGCCAATGGCCCAACTCGCTCCACTACTGGAAACGGACCCATAAAACGCGGACTCAGCTTGTTCTCTGCTATGGATCTGTTAGGACCCCTCAACATAGCCATCTTGAGATAAACTCTATCTCCAACCTGAAACTCAAGCTCTCGTCTGCGTCTATCTGCATAACTCTTCTGCCTATCCTGAGCCTCCTTCATGTTCAGCCTCACAACACGAACCTTCTCTGTCGTCTCCTGAACATAAGTAGCTCCATACATGCTGCGCTCCCCCACTTGGGTCCAGCATAGGGGTGTCCTACATGGCCTCCCATACAAAGCCTCAAATGGAGCCATGCCAATACTCGCCTGAAAGCTGTTGTTGTATGCAAACTCAACTAAGCTCAGGTGATCTGCCCAATGGCCACCCCAATCCAACACACACATCCTCAGCAAATCCTCCAAAGTCTGAATAGTCCTCTCTGACTGACCATCTGTCTGCGGATGATAAGCTGTACTCAGATGCACCTTAGTGCCCATCTCTGCCTGAAACGCCCTCCAAAACTCTGAAGTGAATCTGGGACTCATGCAGCCTCACAATCTCTGACAAACTTCCTAGCCAAGACAGCAGCTCCATCTGTCTTCTTGATGGCCAAGAAATGTGCGACTTAGTCAACCGATCCACAATCACCCAGATAGCATCGAAAGTCCTCGAAACAGGTAGTCCAACCACGAAATCCATCGTAATCCTATCCCACTTCCACTCTGGAATGGGTAAACTCTGCAAAAGACCACCCGGAACCTGATGCTCTGCCTTCACCAAGGCACAAGTGTTGCACTTCGCAACCCAGTCTGCTACATCCCTCTTCATCCCGACCCAATGATAGTACCTCTTGAGGTCATGGTACATCTTGGTCGCTCCCGGATGAATGGAAAACTTGCTCGCGTGAGCCTCTCCCAAAATCTGATGTCTCAACTCCACATCCTTAGGCACACAAACTCGCACCTCATGATCAGTCACTGTCGCAGCAAACTCTGATCAGCTGCCTGATCCACTGCCTCTAAACCCAAAGGCTCCTGCGAAATGGCACACAAACGCAAGGTACTGATCTCGCCAACTAGAGACTCCACATCTCGCTCAACTGCGGAATCATACCTCCGTCTACTCAACGCGTCCGCCACTAGGTTAGCCCCCGGATGGTAGTGAAGATATGCTGCAAACTCTTGTGATCCGTGAAGACCTGTACTGTCTCACCTAGCAAGTAAGACCTCCAAATCTTCAACGCGAAGATCACTGCTCCCAACTCTAAGTCATGTGTAGGACGGTTACGCTCACTGCCCTGCCACTGTCTCGAAGCATATGCTATCACTCTGCCCTCCTGCATCAGCACACAACCAAGACCAATGCCTGAAGCATCTGTATACACCATGTAAGGCTCCTGGCTCCCGGCTCAACTCTCCTTGTCATCGGCTGCATCGCCATGGTAGCAAACCCCTTGACGAACCTCCTGTAGTATCCTGCCAAACCCAGAAAACTCCTGATCTCGGTGGCACTACTAGGTCTAGGCCAATCTCTGATAGCCTCAATCTTAGCCGGATCCACAGAAACTCCCTCTGCAGAAACAATGTGGCCAAGAAATCCCATCTCTCGCTGCCAGAAACTGCACTTGCTCAACTTAGCGAAAAGCTTCTGCTCCCGAAGCTTCTCCAGAACCAACCTCAAGTGAGTCGCATGCTCCTCCTGACTCCTCGAGTATACCAGAATATCATCAATGAAAATGATGACGAAACACGTCCAAATACTCCCTGAACACGTCGTTCATCAATCTCATGAAGGCTGCCGGCGCGTTAGTCAAACCGAAAGGCATAACCACGAACTCAAAATGCCCATAACGCGTCCTGAAAGCAGTCTTCCTGACATCTGCCTCATCTATCGGGATCTGATGATACCCCGATGCCAAGTCAATCTTGGAGAACCAAGTAGCACCCCTCAACTGATCCAAACTCATCAATCCTCGGGAGTGGGTACCTGTTCTTCACAGTGACTCGGTTAAGACCTCTGTAATCAATACAAAGTCTGAAACTGCCATCCTTCTTCTTCACAAACAACACCGGTGCTCCCCACGGTGAAACACTTGGTCGAATGAACCCCTTAGACAAAAGGTCCTCTATCTGCTTCTTCAGCTCTGCCAACTCAGCTGGCGCCATCCTGTAAGGCGTCTTCGATATTGGTGCTGTCCCCGGCTCTAACTCAATCGTGAAAGGATCAGACCGAGATGGTGGTAATCCCTTCAGTGACTGAAAGACATCCTCAAAATCCTGGACAACCTCAATATCTCCCATAACAACTCCAGCTCCTGACTCAGACATAGAAATCGTCGCCAGATACGCCTCACAGCCCCGCACTAACAACTGCTCGGCCTGAATAGCAGATATCACAATACTCCCGGAAGTCGGTCTCACTCCCTGATAAACCAACCTCCCTGCATCTCGCTCGAAGACCACTCTACCTCTGTAGCAATCCAGATGAACTCTGTAGTGTGACAACCAGTCCATCCCGAGAATAACGTCATACAGCTCCACCGGACTGATGACTAAGTCTGCTGGCATTGACTGCCCCGCAATCTCGATCTCGACTCCTCTAGCACGGCCCAAAGTAGACAAGAATCCACCTCCCGCCACCTTGACCATGCCCGCGCTCTCGCCGCGCTACTCCGGATGCCACTCTTCTCGGCACGCTCCGGTGTAATGAAGCAATTCGATGCTCCAGAGTCGAATAAAACGTGGGACTCAAAACCGCCCACTAACAAGGTCCCTACACATTCAATTGCGTTGAGAACCTCCACAAGACTATCACAGATAAAAATGACTAACAGACAATACACAACAACAATTCTATACTAAGAATTTACAAAGTCTGAGTCGAAGATTTACCTGTGATCTGTCCGGTCTGACTAGTCCCGCCAGTCTCCACCGAAGAGTAACCCCGCGCGCCGGTGCAATCTGACCCAACGGCTGCACTGCTGCGATCTGACTCACTGGCTGAGCCGCTACTGGCTGAACCGAAGCCACCGACATACTCCGCAACTTAGGACACATGGGCTTGATATGCCCAGGCTCCTTGCAGTAGTAGCACACCCTCGGTGCTGACTCCCTCTTGGGACAACTCGAAACACGATGCTCCGTGCTCCCACACCCAAAACACGAACCACGAGGAAACTGACTAGCACCAGAAAACTCCTCTCTACTCCTCTTCTGACCCTGCGCAGGCAAACCGCCCCTGCCAGAACCAGAACTGAAACTCGAACCACCTCTGCGCTGCTGCTGCTGCTGCTGTCGCGGCTGCTGATGCTGACCCCGAGGCTGGGTAGCAGAAGCAACTGCTGACGGCACAGCCACCGGACCAACTGGCCCACCAAGATCCGCCTCAACCGACGCGGCCAACTCTACCAGACTCGCCCTCGAAGTGTGCATACTACTCCTGCATAGAGTCCGAATATCCTTGCGAAGTCCCTCCAGAAATCTGTTCGTCAACTGATGCTCAGCCTCCATACCAAAGCCCGCATGCACTAACAGACGGCTGAACTCCTCATCATACTCGCGTACAGAACGCGAACCCTGCTCAATGCCCATAAACCGCATCTGAAGACGATCACGAGCCTGCCTCGGGAAATACTTGGCGTTGAACTCCACAAGGAAGTCGCCCCAAGTCCAAAATGCCCTCCGGCCCACCGCGGCCTGCCACCACAAATGAGCATCGCCACTCAAATAGTGGACCGCTAACTCCACCCAGTACTCTATCGGACAACGGATCGAATGAAAGTTCCGCTCCACTCTCTGACGCCACGCGTCTGCCTCCTCTGGACCAACTCTACCCTCGAAGAAAGGCGTACCAATCCTCTGCATGTGGCCCATAAACTCCAAATAACTGGTCACACCCGCATCCACAGCCTCCGGCTGCGCAACGCCTGCAGCAACATGCTGCACCTCTGCCACTGGAGGTACTCCCGGAGCCCCCTGTGGAACCACTGGCGGAAAACGAGCCAACAGCTGCGTCAGCAAACCCACCACTAAGTCATCATGACCCTGAGCCGGAGCGCCACCCCCACCCGGAGCAGCCCCCGCTCCCAAACCAACACTCACACTGGCTCACTCGCCACGGATACTGACTGGGTCACCGACGCAGTATGCACACTCGGTGCCACACTCTCTCCCGAATCCGCCGGAAGTCCACGACCACGACCTCGGCCCCGGCCTCCAGCTCTACCACCAGCTCTGCCACGGCCACTGCCGCCACGACCTCTAGCACCGCGCCCTCTCGCGCCACGACCTCTAGGAGCTCCGTCCATCTCACTCATGGACCGAACATGAGCAACTAGAACAATAACACAAAACACAAACACATAAACTCACCGCGGAATCCTTGTAGCTGAAGGGGATGATACTAAAGCCTAGCAATTCTAACAGTCCTAAAACCGTCTAGGCTCTGATACCAAAATGAAACAACCAACATTTTTTTTTTTTTAATAAATATTAATCAATTCTAGCGAAGGTCTTAAAAAAAATTAAATAAATAAAATATCAATAACAAATAAATCAGCTCAGCGGAAGCAAATAATAATTAAACAAGTCTAGCAAAATAATGCAAAACAATAAAACAGTAAACATCCTATCATCCCCCTCTTCAGCCTTGATTCCGCGATCACACAAATCTTTTACCTGCAACACATTGGAATGGAGTTGCGTAAGTATTTAATAAATACTTAGTGAGGCAATCACTCTGCCTACGAGCCATTTACGCAATTTACTAGATATTTAATAATATTTATAAACTTCAATAATTATTAAATACCATTTTCCAATTATTAAATAATTTTTAATAATTAAAACTCAATTTCTCAATTATTAAATAATTCTCATAATTAAATAATAATTTTCCATATTTTAAAATAATTAAAATAATTATTTTAAACCAATTAATTAAATAAATATTATTTAATTAATTAAATCCGAATTAAATCTATTTAATTCCATTAAACCAATTAAATTCAATTAAACCAATATAAACCAATTAAATTCAATTAAATTCAATTAAACCAATAAACCAGATTAAACCACACAAACACACAATTCATCACATAAACAACCAAAATATCATGAAATAACAATTAAAACATAAACTCATCAAGAACAACCACAAACCAAATCTAATCTAGCAAATCACGGACCCACAGTCATGCACTCACCTTGACAATTGATTGAAACTGAAGGAAAAAGGAAGACGATGAACAGTGCCGAATCGCGGATGAACAGTAACCCGTGAACAGTACCGATGAACAGTAACCCGTGAACAGTACCGATGAACAGTACCGATGAACCGATGAACAGTAAAATTCGAAAATCTCTCCAAAAACTCAACTTTTCTCCTCTACAGCATCTGAACTCGAAAATTCTCCAAAGAGAAGACGGCTGCACTCTTTAAACTTGATTTTAGGGCTTTCTCCACTAAACCGACCCAAACCAATTCACTTAAATTGAACCGACAAAATTCCCAATTTTTATTTTTGGTTTATGGATGTTACAATAAATGAGTAATTTGGTAATGATCAATAAAAGTAACCAATAATGATTTGCCAAACATCTAGTTAACATAAGTTTGTTAACATACAAACTTATATATTGATAATATGTTCAAACTTATGATATTGATATTATGGGGTGACTTATAATATTGATATCAATATGTTAACCCCATAATATCAATATCATAAGTTTGTTAACATACACGTTACATGTACATAACCTTTTCGATATTTTATTAGTACATCCTCTCATTATTTATTTATATTGGTTTCTGTTCACAACGTACGTTTGAGTTGAAAGCAGCTTTCTAACAAATTATAATCAAATTTAGAAACTTAAAGAGAAAAAAAACAAGTGAAGAACTAAAGTAGATCATAAGAAGGAAAAGAAGAAAGATTTGACGCTCGGTAGCTTCTCCACTGACACTATCTTTTCATATATGAGGAAATATTTATTGAATAGAAGAGTGTAAACTATGCTGCTTTCTCATTCATCAAATATAGGTAACTACAAAACAGGGAATAGGAGAACAAATAATTGAATGACCAAAACCTCTACAAGAAACAAAGAAAAGAGTAGAAATACGCGTGGGCAGCTAAATAATATTAAGGGTTGTCGTGACGAAGGACCCCATCTTTCTTTTTGGTCACCAAGAAGGACCCACTTAAAAATTGACGTAATTTAGCTAAAAGTTTGTCTCTCTAAAGGAAGTCTTTCGACGAGAAAATACGAAGAAAGGCCAACTAGTGTTAAACATTGCATCAGTAGTACTAGTAGTAACTAAAGCATATACGACGTGATAAGCATAGAACCATGGGACATGAAAAGAAAAGATGCACACATGTGGTACTTGACTACTTGTAGCAATCTTTTAGGTCAAGGCATGTATGAGCGGATCGTGAATCAATGCCTTAGAATGAGTGTAGCGATTGGGTCCATATTTTCAAAGCAACCGTAAAAATTATTGTATAACGGCCTTAAACTACGTACAATGATCTGTTTTGATAGTTTCGATAACACGTTAACATTCCCTCGTGAGCCCTACGTATGATGAAAGCCGCGACCATTGTTTTCTTCTTTGCTCTATAAGCGATGACGCCGATGAGATATGTGACATTTTTGTAAAGCCTCATCAACTTTTCACAACAACAACAAAATTCGTTAGTGATAAATAGGCTATATCACACCCCATTTCTATATAAATACGCAAGACGAAGAGGGCCGAAGTGAGTCCCTAGCTAATTGGGTTTTGGAGTATTTATGGGTCAAAAGCTGTGAAACCCAACTTCACTTCAACAACTCACTTTCGAACCATTCTATTGGTTTATTAGTGGCTTAAGCCCACGTAAGAAACCATAATGAGATCTGGACAAGTAGAGATCGCAATGTCCCAGGTTTGTTACTGGAAAAAGCCACAAAATTCAACCGATTAGGTAAAAACAATATATTTTCTGCTATTTTTTGGATAAATGATGAAACTAAGTTCTGTGTCATCTGCTTTGAATTTGTTTTCTATGGTTTCAACCTGATCTCACTTTGCATGTGTACATTACATAATATCTAAGTTAGCTTATAAAAGTATTGTTATGTCAAACAGTAATAGTAATGATTAAGAAAAAACGAAAATAAGTATAAAGATATTATGAAGGCTCCCCATGAAAATCATAGGAGAAAACGGGAGATGCTAAACGGGGTTTTATCAAAATGACGGTCCCTCACGTTTTGGAATTTACTCAATTTATTTAAACAATGTATTTCAGTTTTTGAAACGACTTGTTTAGAAGAGAAGAGAGGAGAGGACCACAAACATGTCACTTCAATCTTCAGCCCAAAAAGCCAGCCACGAGCCACTCTTCTCTTAATGTGAATTAAATTATTACAAAATTCCAAAATTTCAATTCAATTTGGTGGGTCCAATTGCCCTTTCAATCTTTGTGAATCTCTCTGTTGATTTGGTTCATATAAGACGCATTCACAGTCTTTTTATTTGTTGAATTTATCGAAAACAGTTTATCTATATTGGCCAAAACAATTTTAAAATCTAAAAGTTTTCTCACAAATTTTATACCTTCACAAGTTTTTTTCCCTATTGTCAACTTAGAAACTCGTAATAATATTCTTAAATTTACAAAGCGATATTTCTTTTTGTGCGGCCTCAAAAGAAGTGTTCAACAATAGGCAAAATGTATACCCTAAAATATCATGTTGTTAAAAAACAACGAATACCCCAAAATATCAGTATTAATATTCTTTATTCAGAATATCACAAATTTTCTTTGGGAATGCACTTAGGAAGACATTTCTGTAACATAAGATGCCTTCGTAAGTTTTCTTTGTACTTTTCCAAAACGCTATGTATGTAGTATTTTTTTGGAAAAAAAAAAAAAAAACACCTAAAGTATGCTATTCTTCAAAATGTATTTTTAAATTATATTCTGCAATAAAATACTTTTCTAAGTACGTACACTTTATCTACTATCCAGTAACTGTAATACGAGAAGCGGCAAATCGAAGGTTGAATATGATTTAACTTGCAAAACCCAAAGCCTCTCTAGGCTCCTTCGCGCGTGCGGACCCATGAGTTGGCCAACTCTCAGCTACACAACAACATTCTACGATGTGACTTTCTACATCTTTTAGTTGTGTACTGTCTTTTTATGAATTGGACCTTTTCATCATATATAATAAGAAAGACAAAAAGATTTTCTCATAACTTGAAAAGTTTCTGTAATGTATTAGTATTACCCATACTTTATTAACATGTTCTACGTAGTAGCTTTAGATAATCCTCTTATGGCACTTCCAAACAAAACTTCTTTGAAATTATCCATCTTTACCAAATTGTTAAGAGCCACCAAAAGTAACAGTTTTTTATGTACCACAGATTTAAATTAATAATGGGTTGTTTGTCTTGCTGATAATGATATATGAGGATATTTTGTATAAACGCCATTTTCAACTAAGAATTGGACTATACAGAAAAATACTACATACATTGGTAGGGACAATGACTATTTACGTACAACTTGGTTCATTGTGCTTACTGCAATTGTTTGTCAAGCCATTTTATTTTGAAATCCCAATTCTGTAACTATGATCCCTTTTATTAGAAGGATTATTGTTTTAACTAATTTTTTTTGGAGCTCTTAAGGGTTAGCATACAATCATTGGGTTTAGTTCCGTTTGGTTTGTTAGCTTTATCCGGTTTGGAAAACAATTTACCAAATTAGAGTCGAATGTTTCCGGAACGGTCAAAGTTTCAGCAATATATCCAACCGTCTAAGAAAAGAAAATATTTTTTTTCTCAAACAAAAACTGAACCGATGTATTCTTATAACTAACTAAACTTCCTTACATATGATTGTTTGCTATGAACCAAAAAGATAACAAGTTTCAGGAAATTTATAACTTTTGTAAAGGATAAAACTCAACAGAATCAGTGGAAACTCTTCGACTAATACTGCTTTTGATAAGTTTTGTTTGTTCAGTTTCGGCCTATAGTAAGTAACTAACTTCTTTAACAATCAAAAGCCTTTGCACATTCTTTTTTACCAGATATAATATATACATCAGTACTTTATCCATACAAGAAAGTCACATTATTATTTGGTTATTCCTATGTACATACCAGGTCCACAAAGCACAACTAAGTGCAAAAAAAAAAAAAAAACTCCTGTCGTTTCAGAAGAAAAAAGTTCAACAAAACTTTAATTTTCCTTTTTTTGAAAAACAAGTAAAGTGAGATATAACATGAATACACTGATCAGTAATTCACACCTAGTGGTGAATTTGACGCAGAAACAGCAAGCGAAGCTCTCTTAACGAATCTTCCTTTCATTCGAGGTCTTTTCTCCGCATTCAGTTTACGTACCTCATACCTTATCTTCTTAGAAAACAATCTCGTCCTCCTCTTCTCTCTGTATCTCGAAACCCTAGCTTCTCTTCCTCCATCCCCAAATCCACTTGAAGGTAAACATCCACCAACGTACTGCTTCTGTTGAGTCTCTCCTCCATTCTCTCCCTAAAAACACACAATTTCAACTTCAGCTATTAGAGAAAAGAAAATTCACTTTATTGAAAACTCAAACTACAATTTGATATGATGTCAAGTTTTATAGAATTCCAATTCAAAATCCTTTGGGTATGACTAGGTTGACCCATTTATATCCCTTTCAAGTTCTATCTCACTTAACATAATTATGAAGAAAAAACATTTCCAAAGATTCATATATATATAACATACCATGGAAACAGCTGGCCAGCCACTAATGTCTATGCCTAGCTCCGGTGGCTCTCCGGATGACCACGGTGGACCTTGGCCTCCCCAAGTGGATATCACCGAGTCGTAGTTTAATCTCAGCATCAGAACACTCTTTTGCTCTTCCTCTTTCACCTTAATGCATCCACCACTTCCACTAGTTTTCTCAACATTCTTCACTTCCTCTTCTTCGTATGTGTTGTGTGACTCGTAATCAAAGCTCAGCTCAAACGGCACCGTTCCATCCCGGTCGTCCCGATCATCATCATCGCAGCATATTCCCATGTTTACGGCTGCTTTTGTTTCTTCTTCTTCCTCCTCTTCCTCTGTTTCGTCTCTTTTGATTTTAAACATCTCTGAATTAGACAACCCTAGCTCCTCCATGGCATAACACTCTGTGTCTAAACCGCGACCGAGAAGAGTCTCCACGTCAGCAGCGAACTCCTCAAGCTCCATGTCGGTCGGGAAAAAACCATTCAGACAGCTCTCGGCGTTCTCGTCGTCCTCCTCCTGATTGTCGATCATTATCATAGGAAACTCGATCTTCGGCTCGATGACATCGTTCAAGAATTGTTCAGCCACCATGGGATCGAGAACGGGAACTTGACAGATCAGCTGCTCTTCAAGCTCATAGCTATCAGTTTGATCCTCCACACCAATCTCCGGCACCAAGTCATGAAAAATCGACGGATTGCTCTTCTTTCCAGAGCCACCACGTGGAGTCCGAGCTTTACGAGTGAACCCGTGATGCCACGTGGCGGCTTCGTGTGGAGGAGAGTGGTGGTTGCTGCTATGCTTTACGGCCACCGCCGACGGGCTGGCCGACTTCAAACGGACTCTCTCGTGGCGGCGAGCGAGAGGGTTCGCTGAGTGGACCAAACTGTCGCAAGACTGGCAAAGAAAAGCATCGTCGGCGGCGCAGTACCATCGAGCCCGTCTCTTCACGCAGCTGTCGCAGGCCCTCGCCGTCTTGGCTCCAACAGCATTCGCCAAACTTCTCATATTTTTAACCAATTGTTTAAACTAACATCAACGAGGAGAGAGCAACAAGTGACTTGATTTTTGAGTTCGATTCCAATAATAGAATCTTTTCTCGAATTATTGCTCTCTGCAAAAAAGTTAGATTTAGTTTCCTCCGAGAGTTTGGAGTATACTATTGGGTAATGAGAGTTTGAGATTAAGTGGACATATCCCGCATGAAGTGCGTTCTCTTTTGTCAGTTGATTTTTTATGTAATAAAAATTTTATGCACTTTTTGGGTGTTTATGTCTACCAACGGGACCCACGTGGAGGCCTTATCTCGATTTTGATTGGTTGAATTCTGAAGATGATCTTCGTAATAGTCTTTTAATTGGTCAGCTTCTTTATCCAATGGATTTCTTGTGTGGTCCATCTTGTCGATTTCCTCTTTATTTTTATTTTTTTCTGAAACGCATAATTTCCCTATTTTTCTCTATTTGCTTTTGTGGTTTTAAAGACTTCTTGTGGTTTTAATGAACTATTTCTTTTTGGGTATCAAAGGTTTCGGTTGTTTATACACTCTTAAGTGTTCAAGTACAAAAAGTAAATGAGCATTTACGTTAGGAATGCTTATAGTTTAATTGTCCTTGGGATATAGATGTTTTTTAGTTAGTCGTTCATATGCAATTAATTAATTGTCTATATATAAGTCATCACTGCCCAGGAGTTTCTTAAAAAAGAAAAGAGCAAGCATATTACTGCAATCATCACTGCCCAGGAGTTTCTTATAGGCCGTCTACTGTGCAATCATCTAAATACTGAAATCATCATCCCTTTGACTGATCCGACCAGAATTATGTAATCAACATTTTGTATACGGTGGTAAATGAAAGGAATAAGCTAACGAAGGAGAACATCTCTTTGACCAAAAAATAAAAGTACACAACATCTTGTGTGTTCATGATGATCACTCTTACGGACCATTCTTTGTGTATACTACTAAACCGTGGAAAAGAAACTCAACGTCCATAAATTCCATTAATGTCTAAGACTGGAATGAAAAATCAGAATATATATGTATGTACGCATTCTACGATAATTAATCAGGATAACCACACTTGTGACGTTTAGTATTGTGTACTCAAATGTTGGACAAGAATAAAAGTATCCATCGGAATGTAAGTTGCACAGCAGGTTCTATCATTTAGTGTATTTTTCATGATTTTTTTTTCCATAAAATTGAATTTTCTTTGAGCTTTTCCATGTATTTTATTAATTAATTTTAGGCAACTGTAAATTTTAATATTTACTCTATTCATAAAAAGAATGTCTTTCAGTCTTTTCACACAAACGAAAAAATAAATGTGTTTAGCTATTAAGGCTTTGAATGGACATATGAAATATTTACAGATTAATTGCAGCCCGTATCCAATGCAGGCCCATCTGCAATTTTGCCCCATTCATCTTTTTAATACAAATTAATAAAAAAACAGAGCAAAAGCCTATTAACTGCATGCAGGAGAGAGACTACGAAAATGACAAGCTTTGCATTGAAGTAGCCAAAAAGTGGTCTTCAAGATGCAGCTCACCAATGCATGTAAAGAAACAGACATTTTTTTTCTTTTTTCTTTTTCTTGTTTTTCTTTTATCTCTCATTCTTTTCCTTATAAATCAACCCAAAATTCATTTCACTCATTATTCACTTTCAAAAAACGAAAATTTATAAATTCTCTCACACTTTTAAGAAATAAACTAAGTTTTTCTTGTGTATTTTTTTCATCTCTCATTTTTCTTACCAAATCCACCTAAATATTTTTTTTTCACTATTCACTTAGAAAAACGAAAATCTACAAATTCTGTCAAAGGTATTATGTACTATCTCTTTTTTTTTTTCTGTAACAATTTTAGTTGAAGATAAGTTTTTTTTGTTTAGTGAGATATTAATACATTTTATATTGATTCTCTTATATAACAAAATTCTTACATAGAGGAAACTATATATGTTTGTTGTACATTTATAAAAAATTATCTATGTTTGTTATATAAAAGAAAATGTAAAAAATATTATTTAGATTAATATAGAACCATACATTTTTAGTATAATAAATTCATGTATGTTATTTTATAATATGTATTTTAGCTATCAATATTTATAACAAATAAATATTTCTATCATGTGAATTTCATTTGTTCTAAACATATACATAGACATGCATTATTTTTTTTTTGGACGAAATACATAGACATGCATTATACTTTCATCTTTTATTTGATATTTTTTTGTTTTATATGATTTTTCAGGTAATTTCGGAGCTCACAATTATATCCACCAAAAATATTCTCAAATCAAAGGTATGCTTTTCTTTCCATTTTTTTTTGCATATAGCAAGATATTTGAGAACAACATTAATTTTTCTTATAATGAGTAATATACCACATATTTTTTAAATTAGTAATTTGTATAAAAGAAATATGAAATCTTTACTTGTTAAAATAAATAAATTTGAGGTTCAAAAGGTGGTGCCTTTTTTTATTTTATCATTTTAACCTTTTTAGTAGTTTCATGATTAATTGCAGTATTTAATATTTTTGGAAAGTAGAACAATAATATTAGAAGATTTTGTATAAACTAAATTAGAAAATATAATAGAATGATATATAAGAAGAAAACATAATTTATTTCACATGGTATATGTAACATCTATAGACCAAAAATTGGGAATTTCGTCGGTTCAACTTAAGTGATTTGGTTTGGGCCGGTTTAGTGGAGAAAGCCCTAAAATCAAGTTTAAAGAGTGCAGCCGTCTTCTCTTTGGGAATTTTCGAGCTCAGAGGTGCAGAGGAGAAAAGTGGAGTTTTTGGAGAGATTTTCGATTTTTACTGTTCATCGGGTTATGTTCATCGGGTTACTGTTCATCGGATTACTATTCATCGGCGGTACTGTTCATCGGCGGTACTGTTCATCGTCGGGATTTCGCACTGTTCATTTCTTTCCTTCAGTTTCAATCCATTGTCAAGGTGAGTGCATGACTGTGGGTCCGTGATTTGCTAGATTAGATTTGGTTTGTGGTTGTTCTTGATGAGTTTATGTTTTTAATTGTTATTTTTATGATATTTTGGTTGTTCATGTGATGAATTGTGTGTTTGTGTGGTTTAATCTGGTTTATGGTTTAATTGAATTTAATTGATTTGATTCTGGTTTATCTTGGTTCAATTGAATTTAATTGGTTTATATTGGTTTAATGGAATTAAATAGATTTAATTCGGATTTAATTAATTAAATAATATTATTTAATTAATTGGTTTAAAATAATTAATTATTTTAAAATATGGAAAATTATTATTTAATTATGAGAATTATTTAATAATTGAGAAATTGAGTTTTAATTATTAAAAATTATTTAATAATTGGAAAATGGTATTTAATAATTATTGGAGTTTATAAATATTATTAAATATCTAGTAAATTGCGTAAATGGCTCGTAGGCAGAGTGATTGCCTCACTAAGTATTTATTAAATACTTACGCAACTCCATTCCAATGTGTTGCAGGTAAAAGATTTGTGTGATCGCGGAATCAAGGCTGAAGAGGGGGATGATAGGATGTTTACTGTTTTATTGTTTTGTATTTTTGACTTGCTATATCTAGTGTTTAGGTTGCTAGTATTTCTTTTATTAGTTATTGATTTTTTGTTGAACCTATTTATTATTTATTTAATTATTTAAAGACTTCCGCTGAACTGTTATTAATTTATTTATTAAAAAAAAAAGTTGGTTGTTTCAGTATATGTTTAAACATTAAAATATATAATTTGTTATATATCATCACACTAGAATAACTATTAATAAAACTAAATAATTTAAATAACTTTTCTTTTTCTTTCTAGTCAAGATTGGGTTTACAAAAAAAATCCAAATTTTGATAAGTAACATAGATTTCCTTTTTTATAAGTATGTAAATGAAAAAAGTTATTAAGTTTTTGAATATAACTAAAAGTTTATAATAAATTAAAATTAAATCACAATAATAATTACTACTCCTATTATTTGGAAACCGTAATTTGAATTATTATATCAATAATGTCTAACTAAAAATAATATATTATTATGCAACATAAAAAAATTACTATAATATAATTAAAAGTTTATGTATAATTTGCAAGTAATGACCACTAAATCATGATATAATATGAAAACAGATTTGTTTATTTTTTAAATTTATATAATTTATATTTTTTTAGATATGGCGTCAAATCGTAGACAAAACAGAAATTTCTGCACAACCAGATACTATTCCTCCTACTGAAGCATCATTACGAGTAAGATTCTTACTATTATATATTTGAAATTTTTTAGTTTAGTTGGAGTTTTAGGAGTAATATAGTTATGAATTTTAAATTTTAGAACGAGATGATATTTGGACTCATAGACGAGAAAGAAAATTATCGAGCTGTATGACGAAGCTCTTGCTATGAGCAATTACCGTTTAAAAGATCCTACACCTGTTGGTAAAGAGTTTATAGTTGAAAAGTTCAACGAGGAGTTCGGTCTTAATATAGACTACAAGTTTTTCAGAAAAAAACTTGATCATATGAAAAGAAAGTACAAGAAAGTATTTGGGTCTTATACAAAATTCTACGGGAATCTCGGTTGATCCTGTTACATCGTGATACTGCATCAGACTCATGGTGGAAAGATCGTGAAGTAAGTACTTTTAATTTTTTACACTCAAAATTTATTAAATAACTTTACAAAAAACAAAAATATATTAACTAAAAACTATATAATTTTATTGACAGGTATGTAAAGTTATAAAAGCATTTCACAGAAACCCTCCAGAGTTTTGGGATATTATGCAGCGTTGTTTTAGATTGTATGATGTCCACTCACAATCTCAATACTCTGTGAGTCAAAGAAGAGAAGAGATGATGAACGAGGGTTTGCTGATGATGAAGGTTATTTGAATTCGAAATATATGGTGAGATATCAAGCACACAAGTTCCAAGACACAAGAAAATGAAGAGGGGTATCGTGTTGACATTGATGATCAAACACGTCATTCAAATGAGTTTCCTCGTGAATCCATGCGTCAAAGTACTCCCCGATTAATATGTTCCAGAATCAGGCTGCCAGAGTTTCACAACAAGGAAGAATCAGACGTGAAACTCTACCAACAGAGTTGCTGGAAGCTCACAAGTCTCATCAGGAATGGTTCACGAGGAGGTCGCAGAAAGCAATCATTTCAGGCAACTCTAACAGATACAATGGCTGGTTTTAGAGAGTTTCAACGCCAAAGCTTACAACAAATGCGCCCAAATTCTTTTGATCAAGAAGATTATGATGAATGCGAGATGGCTATCAAGATATTTGAATCAATGGAAGTTCAAAAGAATACTGGATTTTATTGGGCATGCATTCAAGCATTTAAGGATGAAAGATTTTGGCGTAAGTATTTCATCGTAGAGCCGAATATTCTGACGATGATAAGCTACAGTTTTTGCAAGCTTTAACAGGATATACACCAGACGGCGAATATGTTGGAAAACGGCTAGTCAAATCAGAATTACGGGAGCCCAAATTTTGGTGGTTTTACTTCTGGTAGTCCATCTTCTGGACAATGGAATCATGGTTATCAACAATGGGGCACACCTCCAAATGCTCAGCAATGGGGCACTCCTCCAAACGCTCAGCAATGGGGCCTCCTCCTAACGCTCAACAATGGGGCACTCCTCCAACCATCAGCAATGGGGCACTCCTCCAACGCTCACAATGGGGCACTCCTCCAAACGCTCAGCAATGGGGTTCATCATCAAGTGTTCCACAATGGGGTACTCCTCCAAAACTCAGCAACGGAACACTCCACCAAACGCCCCACAATGGAGCACTCCACCAAATGCTCAACAATGGGGTTCATCAGCAAATGTTCCACAATGGGGTACGGCACAAAATGTTCAACAATGGGGTTCATCATCAAATGCCAACCAATGGGATTCATCATCAAGTGCTCAACGACAGTGGGAATCATCACCAAAGCAAATCAATGGATTCCTCCAACAAATGTTCAGCGTGGATTTTCAACGAATTGGTCAAGTAGAAGTTGCACGTGAATCAGAGGTTCGTACTTCAGAAAATGTTCAGAGGGGAGTATCACCTGAATTCGGTTTCACAAATTATTCTTCAGAAGCACAAATACCAAGAACAAGATCCGTAGGAGTGGAGGATTATTCAATATTTGGGGAAATAAACAAGGACCAAATTTAAATGAAAGTCATCAAAGTGATTCAGGAACTGAAGATTAGTTAGTACCACTTGTATTTTGTTATTCGCAGTTATGTTATGTTTTAATAATATTTAATATGTTTTATGTATTTTCGAACATTGCATTTTCTTCAATTTGATTTATGATTTATCTTGTTACATATTAATTACTTATTATGATTTTTTGTATGTTTTATAATATTATAAGTATTGTTTATTTTTTGATTTTTTTATCATTTGATTTACGTTTTTTCATGTTTACATATTTTCAGGCTTTTCGTATATGTCAGTTACGATCACATGGTCTCCAAATCTAAGTTACGAGGAGAGAATTGAGTTGTGGAATTTGGAAAATGAGCAATTTGAAGAATTAATAATCCAACCATCATTAAGTTACTACAATCAATATTTTGAAAGAGGACCGGTCCAAACTGGTGGCGGTTTGGGATGGAGAAATATTTGGCGTCGGCTACAAGAAGATGATGCCGCTTGTCTTCAGTTATTACGGATGTCAATTGGTGCTTTCAGAACATTGTGCGATAAACTGCAAACGAGTTATGGTTTACAACCAACATTGAATGTAGGCATTGAAGAGAGTGTGGCCATGTTTCTACGGATATGTGGGCATAACGAAGTTCAAAGAGATGTTGGATTACGATTTGGACGGACGCAAGAGACTGTGAATCGAAAATTTTTTGAAGTGCTTAAAGCGACTGAGTTACTTGCTTGTGATTATATCAGGACTCCAACAACCCAAGAACTACGACAAATTCCTGAACGACTAGTAATGGATCAAAGATATTGGCCATATTTTAGTGGATTTGTTGGCGCTATGGATGGAGTTCATGTTTGCGTTAAAGTGAAGCCTGAAGTTCAAGGAATGTACTGGAACCGGCACAATATAACTTCATTTAATATAATGGCGATATGTGATCTCAATATGTTATTCACATATGTTTGGAATGGAGCACCTGGCTCATGTCATGATACAGCAGTTCTCACAATGGCGCAAGAAAGGGATTCCTGATTTTCCTTTACCTCCACCAGACAAGTATTATCTAGTCGATTCTGGCTATCCAAACAAACAAGGTTTTTTGGCTCCTTTAGATCTTCACGGAATGTGGTTGTTCGGTATCATATGTCACAATTTGAAAATGGTCCTCCTCCTAGAAACAAGCAAGAGTTGTTTAATCGATATCATGCATCTTTACGTTCTGTTATTGAAAGGACTTTTGGAGTATGGAAGAAGAAATGGAGGATTCTTTGTGAATTTCCTAGATATGATAAGAAAGTTCAAAAAAGAGTGGTAATGGCGACAATGGGACTACATAATTTTATTAGAATTTCTAATTTTTCAGATGAAGATTTTGCTGATGTAAGAAGAGACACAGAGATTGGCAACACAAGTTCTATGGTAGAACCAAGTGAGATGGCAGAAATGGAAATAGAAGAAGGGAATTTTATGGTTAACATTAGGGAACATATTGCAAGTACATTATGGGCAGAACAAAAACATTTCACGTTAATTTTTGAAAACAATTTTTGTATGTTGTAATCGAATTTAAATTTTATATAATGTTTTATTTTTTAAATTTCTTGTTTATATATTGAAATTTTTCTTTATTTTTTTCATTGCTCAATAAAATATAATATTTTATTATTATTTAATCTGTTTGATATGTATTTGTTCTGTATGCAGATCATGATCTGTATATGATCTGTTTGATCTGGATTTACTGTTTGATCTGCATTTTTTGATCTTTGTCTCCATTCGAAGCCTAAGTTATACTTTTCACACTAAATCCGATTTAATAAAAGTGACGGCATACTTAAATCCGATTTTACTTTATGCTCAAAAATTCTGATGATCTTAATGTAAATTTTAAGATTTACTCTGTTCATCAAAAGTATACCAAGATATAAACGTTTGTGGTATTTTATCATCTTTTAACATTTTCTCTGTTAAACTAAGAATATATATAAATATTTAGCCTAACAACATTTCTTTTGTATCTTGATTTTCTCGTTTACGCCTAATCTCCTAAAAGGATCATATATGGTCTCAAATATTAGTTTTCCATCACCTAGCTGTTATAGTTGGACTTTTCATCTATGATACGATATGGCACATCTTGAATTGTACTTTTTGTTCATGCATCATTTTTTTAGATTTAAAATCTGTGTTGACATTAAACTCAGAATTTATAAAATGTTAGATGCACCGGACTAGCACGGTTTCATATGTTTAGAAATATAAATATTTCATGTATGTTGTATTAATATCTTTGTGCGTTTCCCACTGTGGGAGAAGCACCACACATGCATGATACTTGGCCTTTGGTGCCATATGAAAACCCAACTATTTGGGTGCATGAATCGGCAAATACCAAAGATAGTGTGTGAGTGGAACTACCTTGACACTTGTTTCCATCTTTTAACTAGATTTTCTGGCATCTTCTTTGACATCTGTTTTCTGTAGGTTTCTTCAGAAAATTCCAACAGTTCAATCAGATCATCGTCTTCTGCAAGTTGATCATCGTTGATTTCAAGCAATTTTGTAGGTCGGTGGTCTTCATGACTATACTCTGCTGGAACTACAACTTCCAACTGGTACTTCATATATAAAAAGTGGTTTCGAATCTGATAATTGAAATTTTACCTTAATTGATTACCTCCAGTTGATCAAAATCAGGTTATGATTATAATTTTTCAAAATGTTGTTTGCATTTTCACTCAGAGAAAAGAAACTTACCATAAAATGACTCAACGATTTCTCAATAACCACAACCTTCACTTATTCCCAACTCTTTCTTGTTCAACTGATATCTGTAGGTGGAGTATCTTTGTTAACCTCAGCCCACTCAAAGCCGCTTGGTTTAAGCATGTACACTGAAAGGGAGCGCTCAGGTAAGCTGCTGCTAGTCGCCATGACATTAGTTTTCTGCACCATATGTCCAACATGGAATTTTATATTGAATTTTGTGAAGCTTTGAATCTTTGAAAGCTAGCTTCTAATCCAGCCTAGCATATCCAGATGTTTGAGCTGCTCACTCTTAGGGATCTCAAAAGGAACGGTGACTTCTGGGTGTGTCCCCCACTGTGGAACAATGACCAGACACAAGACTTCAGCTTTGCTGCCATCAGTGGCGGAGCCACAAAATTCACTGATTGCAATTAATATTTACTATATATTATATGGATCAATGAACTAAATTTATAACATTTTATTAAATTTTCTGTTTAAGATACATGTAATTTTTTTTTAAAAAATTTGAAATGAATCAAGTGACCAAAAATTTGAAATGAATCAAGTGACCAACGTCACAAAGAGCTGGCTCCGCCATTGGCTGCCATAGAGAAAGCCCACAATTTCATTAAATCGTTGAATAAGTTTGAGAGTTATTGTAAAGTCTTTGTTTTTGTCAACACTTCTTGGAATTGATCAAACCAAGGGAAAGCTATAAAGCCAGTTGAGTCTGAAAAAATATAAACAAGCGCATAAAGCTTTCTCTCTTTAGAAAGATATAGTAAAAATATCAATTTGATTCTTGAACGAACCAATTGTTGCCCTTGTTGATGTAGGAGATATTTTTGAGATTTTCTTAATTTTCTTTTTTCTTTAATTATGTTTTTCTTTTTGGGTTTTTGGATATTTTATAGGGTTTTATTTTAGGGAAATTGCAATAAATGTACATCAGTAGTTCTGAAATTAAATGGTTGTTTCTGACAACTTTTATGTGCACTGTTTATATGGTTGAAGACACTAAAACCCTTACTAAAATCACAACAATCTTGTTAACAATTAGTACTAAATCTCCCTCACAGATATTACATCCCTTTGCGAATAAATTTTTAGTTATTTTGCTAACAAAAAATATGTCACTTCGCTAACAAATACAATGTTTTTTGATAATAAACATCACATTATCTTGTTAACAAAGATTATGTTACCTTGTTAACACAGATTATGATAAATTGTTTACATTTTGTTGTTAATGAATTTTAGCAAGTAATAATTTGAACGTTAGCATATAATGGTTTGAATGTAAGCATCTAATGATTCAAATGTTAACATGATTTTACTAATTTGGTTAATGAGTAATGTTAGCATGTAATTTAGATGTTAGCACGTAATGGTTTGAATGTTATATCATTTGTTAGTATTTGTTAACATGAAATCTTACAAGATGGTCAGCCCTTTTAAGGAGGACGTGATTCTTTATCCAGAAAAGAACTTGATGAATAATAAGCTCTAACCTATCAAATATGGTTATTTCAAGGTGTTGGGGAAGATCAATGATAATGTTTATGTAGTTTCTCTCCCAGAACTCATGAACATATCTAATACTTTCAATATAATGTGGCTGAGATTCATGAGTACCATGCATATGAGATTTTTAATCTAAAAAATAACTCGAGGTCGAGTTCTTTAGAGGTCGAGGAGACTGATGTATGAGATATTTAGGAGATTTTCTTAATTTTCTTTTTCTTTAATTATGTTTTTTCTTTTGGGTTTTTGGATATTTTCTAGGATTTTATTTTACTATATAAACACTTTAAGTTGTAGTCATGAGGCATATCTTATTATTCTAATTAGTCAAAACAGAAAATGTTTCTCTAATCTAGTGGATTTCTAAAGTTTTATTTTAAAAATCATCGCTTGTGGACTTGAATTGAATCTATAATGCTTATTTTTCCTAGGATTTTCCGACATGGAAAGGAGAAAGTTTATCTAATGAATTTGAGTGTGCATAATAGAATTAGAATAGAATATTTAGTTGAATACACCTACGGAATGTTATTACTCTAGTAATTTAAAATTTTTAGTGTTTTGAGTAGAATTGTAGTGATGATACACCATCATGACATTCTTGTTAATAACATTTACAAACCAGTCTTTTTCACGTTTCTCTATAATTTTTCATTCTTCAACAGATACCAAAGAGTATATAAAATTTTAACCTAAACGGATCAAACCATAACGGAAACCATATAGAGAGAGATGCTTATTTATAGCTTGACAACTTCAAGGATAAAAAACTACATAGGTCAACACCATTAAATTTTCAAGAAAACTAAAATCTAAAACAAAATCGAAAACCAAAAATTCAAAAATCAAAATCCAAAAATGAAAAACCCAAATCTAAAATCCATTCTCCAAGTGTTAGAATTAGTTTGAAAATGTTGACAACAATGAACAAAAAAAAAACCTAAGATTACCTTATAGAGAATCCTTTGAACTAAAAAAAAAAGGGTCGACGATCTATTTTCCCATGAAAACTATGGGTGTCGTACTAGATGCAGCCCAAACTATGACCTCGATCTAATTATCCCCGACAACAAAGTTTAAGACCTTAATCCCCATGAAATTAAAGTTCAAAACTTATATCTCCACAAAATAAAAGTTTGAAACCAAAATACCCATAGACCTTGGTTTTAATCGGGTTTACGGTTTACTAAATAAACATTAACCATATGAACCGAGACTAAACCGTAAAAAAACCCAATTAAAACCCAATTAGATGTACTAGACCAGACTAAACCTATTTAACCAGAAAATCAAATCGTGCAACAAAGCCTAAATCACAAAATCAATTCTTGAAATCTTAGAACCTTCTTTCTCGATGTAAGAGATGAGTAGACAAGATTTTCAATCTCCTAATCTGAAAATTCCACAGATTATCATAGAGAACTGAACAAAGCAAATCAATTAAAAAAAAAAGCAAGCTAATGAACTAACCGCTTCACCATGCCCAGAAGAATCTTCTGATTGAAGCATCAATACATGCGTTGGAAAAGAATCCAATTCCACAATCTACACAGTTAACAGTTTCAAATTATGTGAGAAACATGTCGCTTATAAGCCATGATGATAAGTCAAACAAAACAAAGCATCACTTTTCTAAAAAACTGTTTGTAATGTCCTTTTAGCAACTCTTTGTAGTTTAACATCTGGAAAAAATAAATACTCGTGAAATTCAAAACTTGCATTTCTAACAGAAATTGACAACCACAATATCATCAAAAACGGTTAAAGATTGGGTTACTTGAATAGCAGTAATAAGTCCAAGAGCAAATGCACAATCACAATCTTTTTCCAGTTTATGACCGTAAGATTCGGGAAAAAAATTCACCAATCAAGAAAGACCATAGGGCTTCCATTTCTAAATATTTAACCAAAATTCGAGATGATAGCATGATATTTCGAAATTCAAATCCAATCTATAGACGTCACTCAGTTTCGGAATCCGCCATTGGAGTCATCAATTTTGCAAAATTGATTTTAGGGTTCTTAGAATTTGAAATTATCAATTTGGGGATTTATGAAGAAATTCTGGTTCATGTCGAATTGGATTTTTGTTCGGTTTAGAATCTCATGGTATTGTCTCGGGTTTACATCGTAAACCAGTGAAACCGACATTTGTGGAGATATAAGTTTTGAACTTTAATTTCGTGGGGATTAAGGTCTTAAACTCGGGGATAATTAGATTGAGGTTTAGTTTGGACTGCATCTAGTACGACACCCATAGTTTTCATGGGGAAATAGATCGTCGACCCAAAAAAAAATCACATAGATCAATACACAACGTTACAAGAACGAATCCGTTCAAAGAGTTTACGGAACCACCATTTTTGCCTCAATGGATATGACACGTGGGTCCCACCGGCGTGAATGATGAATTCAATCACGGAGATAGACGTTTCGTGACATTTGCAGATTGTACTGATCTCTGATTATGAATACCTCATACAAAAACATCATATGTATGATTTTGCCGTCGGGACCGTTGTTGTTCTAACGCAGCTTTCTCGGCTCTTTACCCATGCTCTCTTGGGTCGCCACTACCACCGCATCGTTTGATGGAGAGTATGGGAAACTAGCAAGAAAGTAAAATATAGCATTGGGGAGAGAGTAGAGGCAACAACTAACTACATGAATAGACTACATTTTCACGTACTACACACGTATTGTTGTTGCTTTTAGTTATTAATATTATTAGTACAAAACTAAAAGAACCGCCCAATTTAATATTGCAGTTATCTATCCCAATCCTATTATGGTGAGACTGAAAACGAATCTCCACATGTTTCAATTAATTTTTCAAAAACTAGGAATGACAATGCACGTTACGCCTCTTCCAGATTGGACTAAATTATTTGTGAAATTTTGATGGATCTTTAGACCAATTTGATGAATTTTGATGAATTGTTTTTTCCCTTTGTGTGCCTAATATACACTGTAGTGATGATCCTTCACAAAAGATAAGATGGATCGAGGCTTGGAAGTTCTCCATTCTCCACTTTATTATATTGCTTCCGTTTGGAGTTAACTATGTTTAAGTCCTTGTCTCCTGCCATTCGTGTACGTTACATATTTGTACGAAAAAAACAAAAAAAGTGACAGAAAGTAAAACTGAAAAAATTGAAAAACAAAATGATTTACCTTTCCACCAGAATTCCGTGCATAAAGTCAAATCGGATTTAAGTTTGCCGTCGATTCTATCAACTGTATGCCACATGGTCCCCTGTTAACCATATTTATGACAACATAGTCAAACCCAAATTACTCAAATTGCTTACTCTTTTCTGATTTTTTTATCACTGCATCCTTTACATTAAAAATAGTAACTATTGAGATCAGGCCAGCAGATTCAAGGGATACGTAAAATATAATAACAAACAAATTCTAAAAATAAATAAATTAAGTTTTGGTATTTTGATACATCACGACTCACGAGAAACTAAAAAGAAATAAATAAAAATTGAAATAAATACCCACAATGAAAATGTAGAGATGAAAGTACACGACGCAGATATGAACATTTACGAAACTTTATCGTCTTTTTCACTTTTCTCTATTATTTTTCAATCTTTTCAAGAATTACCAAACAGTATATAAAATTTTAACCTAAACGGATCAAACCATAGAGAGAGAGAGAGAGAGGCTTGTTTATAGTTTGACAACTTCAGGGATAAAGACAGGGTAGCGGTCGATACAATCCGACCATGCTCCTTCCGTTGGTGCCTTGATCGTACGGTTACATTTCCAAACGGCGGAATTACACTTAAACCCACTCCCAAACGCGATCTGCCAAACCCTATCTCCTCTCTTCATCCTCCCTTTGGCTTCTATGTAGCTAAGCTCATACCACAACGAAGAGGACGACGTGTTACCAAACCTATGCAACGTCATTCTTGAAGCCTCCACGTGTTCTCCCGACAGCTCTAGACTCTTCTGCAGCTCGTCTATCACAGCTCTTCCTCCTGCGTGGATGCAGAAATGCTCGAAGGCCATCTTGAAATCCGGTATGTACGGCTTCCATTTGGGGTTAAAGATTTTACGTCCGATCAGAGATGAGAGGAAAAGAAGCTGCTCTGATGCCGGTAGGACCAAAGGACCTATTCAATACAAAAATATTTGTGTTAATTCAAGAGAAAGTAATATTTATTACGTTCTTGACAGAGTCCAACAATTGTATATTTATTTCATATGAACCCACAATTTTTAAACATTTTAAAGAAAATAATTAAAGGCACTACGTTTTAGAGTCATGGTTTATAATTAAAGGGAAAAAAATGGTCAAAGCATGTTGTAAGTATAGGACTAAGAGTTACCTATGGTGGTGATGTTAGACTTTAAGGCTTCTCCGGCAATGGCCATGAGATCTTTATTCAAATTGATACCGACGTGGCCTTCATTGTCTTCCTGCTGGTAAACGCAATTGTAAGACTTGTCTTCCGCACCCTTGTGGGTCCTGACAAGGTGGCTGAGCTTATACTTAGCTCGCCAGCCGTCAGATCTCCGGTTAGAGAGGAGAATGGCGGCGGAGCCCATGCGGAAGAGGCAGTTAGGGAGCAACATAGCTCTCTCTTTCCCCTGGTAGTAGTTAGGAGTAATGATCTCAGTGCTAACTATGACTGCGTTGGAGTTAGGGTGGACTTGTAACAAGTCACGTGCTACATCGACGGAGATAAGACCGGCGCTACATCCCATCCCGGAGAGGTTAAAGCTTCTGATGTTACTCCTGAGTTTGTACTTGTTGATAATCATGGCGGACAGAGAAGGCGTTGGTGAGAACAAAGAGCAGTTAACGACGAGTATGTCTATGTCTTTAGGTTTAAGACCTGTTTTCTTGAAGAGATCATCCATGGCGGTGAAGATAACCACTTGGGCTTCGCTTCTTGCGGATTCCATGGTTGGAGTTGGAGGGATGTAATGAATAGCTGGAGGTAGACAAGTCTCTTCGCCTAGACCTGACCGTTCGAGCATTCTCATTTGGAACTCGACGCTCTTGGGATTGTCTTTGAGGATGAGACGAGAGTGTTCCATGAACGTTGCGAACGGGACACGACACGTGACGGGAGGTTTGTAGCAAGAGTAGTCTACAAGGTAGACGGTGCGTGGCTTGGACATGAAGTAAACGGTTGAAACAAAGATGATGAAGAAAGAAGAACAGATTACGTGAAGGAGATCGAAGTGGAGTGCGTTGAAGTGATTGAGGATCTCTTCGGGACCCATTCGGAGAAGCTCTACGGCGATTTTTGCTATGATTGGAATCAGAAGGAGATTAAGGAAGTGGTTGACGAGGAACTGGTAACCTAGTTTCACGTACTTGGGCTTCACGGAGCTCGAGGGATCGGGCATTTTGGGAGGCATTGTAATGGTTTATCTTGCCTATGAGATTTGGAGGGACAAAGGAAAGAGAGAAAAGGATTGAGATATAAAGGAACAAACAGAGCGTTGAGAGGAGTTAATGTATGGGACTCAAATTTCACATCACTCAACGCTCTCTCTCTCCCTCTCAAGCTACCCATTACTATTTTATTTTATTTTTTCACTTTATGATTCATTTTCCAAACTATATACTCTCAGTTCTCTTCTGTCTTCCAGTTGTAGCCAGGCAAATATCATTTATGGAGCAAATGATTAAGCAGTAAAGAGTTTTAAACCTCTTTTGCTCTAGTATTATTTTTCTCATTGTGCCTGAAATCTTGTATTTGCTAAAAAAAGAATATGTAAGAAAAAATATATGAGATGTGTCAGTTATGTTCGTTTCTAGATTTCAATGTGTTTTGTAATCAAGTTCAAAAGTTACAGAGTGGGGGTACGTACAAGGAGCCGCAAAAGTCATACTATTTCAATTTTTTATCGGTGAAAACGGAAACTAATAATCCTAAAAATCTTCCACATTTAACAAACCAAAGATGTAGTGGTACTATGTTTTAGGATTCTCTTTTTACCCGACATTAGTGTTTCTTTACCTACTTCTTCCATATCAACCCAAAACAATCAATTACAAAAGTTAGTACTAAATTTAATCAAAGGGGCCTTACACGGATTGAAATATGGGGATCTTCAAATTCGGGAAAACGATAATGTTGAACACATTAGAAGGTCAAAGGCCAATCAAGGTAATGTAAATGGGACTTGATGTAATTTTTAAACATTTGTAGTCAGTCATACACGGCTGCATTATGTTAAAAAGAATCATTAGTTTAGTTATATTCAAGCAATTAAATATATCTAGACATTAATCAACGAAACTGTTTTATATTAACAAAATTATAAAAATACAAACCTTATAAAATGATTGTATTTATATTTAAATTTAATTTAATGCTCAACTAAAACTTTGGGCGACGTTGAAGGCAAATAAAAACTTGTCACTTAACCATTTGTTCACGTGAATTCTGCTCACATGACTGATTTAGACTTATAACTTATACTTGCTAACTTACTACTCCCAATCATTAATGGATACTCAATACAAATCGATTTTGTTTAAGTTTTGTAGAAATTGGAACTAAGTATCGTTTTCATCGTGGGGTTTGAATTAATGTTTTAACAGTTTTTACGGCTTTAAATTGTTGCATCCGATGGCGATATATCTCTTAAACCACACCAAATCATTGCCGGAAAATCTTAAGTGGGTAACATTGTAACAACAACAATTGTTTCGGTGTTACGTTTTTTGGTGGAGGTTTAAAGTAGCTAAACTCTATCAAATCAATTAAACCAGAGATAATATATAGCATCGACATACACTACACATACACGTGTAGCGTATACAAATATATAAGAAAATGGTCCTTTCTTATACGAACAATGAGCTCAATAATACAATATTAAATCTATAGGGGTGTCGGAACAACCAGCGGCTAACCATATTTTTTTTCTCCTTATAACAATAAACACTTAAATAAATATACACCGCATGTTACAGATTACACTTATTAGAAAGAAAAGTCTATCGGCACTGCTGGGATTAAAGGAATTAGTTGCAACTCTCAACCATATGACAGTTTAGTGTCTATATTTTTAAACAATATACATAAATTAATCTCAAAGATCGCTTTAGTTTCGGTTGGGATGTTACGAATATTATATTCAACTTTCAACTTTGGTACTTTTTGTCCCCTGTATTAAGTATTAACTGAGTAAACCCTCCCAACAAAATGACATCCTCTTCTTTTGTTATTTGTCTTTATAGTATGGTCTAGTAATAGTCTTAAAAGTAATTTACTATGGACTTGCATGGATGCTATATTATTCGTGGGTTATCTATGTCTAACAGTATTTTGAATTTTAATATTCTTATCAAAGTTTGGTGTGGATTGTGGTACAATTTCACAGGTTTTTATAACTTTTCTGGAGTCTAAGCTGAATATTTGTTTTTGTCAATCTCTAAATATTTTCTCTTTATTATATTTAAATTAAGATCACACTAATAGATATAAGTGTGGATTTTCTTATGCTACTACGGAAAGATTGTATATATATTTGTGGTTGAAGTTTAGAGAGAAAGAAATGTAGGACAAGAGAGTTTGAAAGTTAGAGAGACCAAAGCTTTGTATCACTCTCTCCACTTATGGTTTTCCAAAACCTTGCCATTTACAAGAACTAAGTACATCTATCTTTAGGGGAAAACTAGGAAAGAAAGCTTGTGAATAGCTTGAAGACAAAACTATTTCAATGCACAGGCATTTTCTGAATAAAGAAAAACAAAAAGTAAAGGGGTCAACCCATATCGAAATTACATATAACTGTATAACACGTATCCAAATTTAGGTAATTTTACATTTAAATTTAACGTTTGATGTTTGGTGACAATCACCCAAAACATGGGCCGGAGAGCTTTATGTTGGGATATATGGGCTTGTCAATAAGCATGTGATAAGCTTCTAATATGCTTATTACTCAGTTCATTTAGGCTCTATAATCTAGATTGAGTTTCAAATCCACTTGGAGGGACCAGCTTTATACCTTCTCGCGTTGTCAAGATACCTCTTGATTTTAGGTCACTATGTGAGAACAACTCTTAGAGACTCCTCAGGCACAAAGATTTCAACAACAACAAAAATATGCTTCTAATTTAGTTGTAAAGCTCATCTCCTTTGTCTTTCTTTGTTTTTGTTTTTAATTCTGGGGAGATGAAGAGAAGGTTAGGTTCTTGTGGAAGTTGATAGGAGCAAAAGAAAGGTTTAAGATTTTGGAAGCCGATTAACGATGGAGGGAAGCTTTGATGAGGCAGTCAATGGTGTTGATGGAGCCTTACACATCGCCTCTCGGATATGTTCTAAGTGGAACAAGGAGTGTAATGGACTCTTGTGAAAAATCCAGTAACACTGTTTAAAGGAATGTTCTCACATCTTCGTCAACCTCAGTCCGCTTCCGTTTTGACGCCTCACAAATCTCTCAACTTAACGAATCACATTGGAGCGATCTTGACTACTGCAAACGGTTCAAGGTGAGAAACATTCCTTACTCTTGCATCAATGTTAACCAACTACTGTATCTTCTTTCTCGATTGATGAACTGTCGTGATTGAGATTGGGCTCAGGCAGGTGGGCTTCTTCTTTGGAGTAATGGGCCATGTGGTTGAAGCAGGCCCATAAGAAGATTTCCCTGCAACAAAGTAACGACAATAGTTCTCGTGCAATTTACTTCATGTTCAGGAAACAGAGAAGTTGTGTCATTGGTAGGTGTTGATCATTGACAAGAGAAAAGCAAGAGGTGTAAGAAGAAGGGTGTTGTATACAGAGTATAAAGTCATCACCAAGAGAGAGAAGAAGATTAAGTTCACGAAGCAAGTAATCACACAAAGAAAAAGAGAAAACAAATAAGAGAGAAAAGCTAAGTAATAAGAGTGATTCACTTATCTTTTCTCTTGGGGTTTTGAAGCTCTGTTCGGTGAGTGACGTGAGCTTGGTGTGAGATCTCTTTTGTACTCTGTTTACTGGATATAACCCTTGTGAGCTGGTGTAAGCTCTCCGAGACGTACCGAGATCACGTTGATCTTGGGAACTCGTATATCTTGGTCTTCTTTATTTTCTGCACAACATCAAACACAATCAAAACAGTAAAGGTATAACTAATAACCTGCAATCTGTACTGATAATCAGAACTGAATACTTGTTAAAACACCAATAGTGGTATCAGAGCTAAGTTAAAGCTATTCAGTTCTAAGGATTAATCAAGATCAGAAAGCTTGTTCGTTGGAGTTATACTTCTTCACCGGTTCAAGGTTTATTGTACCAAGAGGTGCTGCTGTTTTTTTTTGGAATCTGAGTTTGAGTTCAAGGATATTAAAGCTTGTTGGATCATGATATACCTCTAATTTACCTACTTTTTATACTATTTTAGCATTGTTTCTAATGGTTTTTGGCAGGTTTTCTATCTAAAAATGTAGTTTTACTATGTTTATAGTGTCTAGAGTCTCAGGTGAAATGATGCATTTTGGAGCAAAACCATAGGATTTGCACTTCAAGCAGCTCCATGCGCAAGCACCAACTTAAAGAGGGCCCAGAAAAAGATCTACTCGATGGATTTCATCAAGACTAGTTCCTTGCGTGCTCTGATTGAGTTAACTTTCCAACGCAACTGGGATGACTTCATTTGGATGAGTAGAAAGGGAGTTACAACCAAAAGAGTGGAGACTGTCCAGACGGCTCTATCGAGAAGGCAGCGCCCAAACCGCGCAGTCCGGCTGGCCGAGAAACTAATGCTCCGCGCTCGGCCAAATTCACATCCGTCCGACTGAAGTCTTTTACAACAGCTAAGCATACTTCAAAGGATGTTCTGGAGTATGTTCACTCTGATTTGTGGGGTTCTCTACACGTGACACCAAGCTTGTCTAAGTGTCAATACTACATTTCGTTTGTGGATGATTTCTCTAGAAAGGTATGGATCTTTTTTCTCAAAACAAAAGATGAAGCATACTCAAAGTTTGTTGAATGGTTGGCGTTTGTTGAGAATCAAAGTGGAAAGAAGCTGAAGGCATTACGGACAAATAATGGCTTGGAATATTGCAACAAAACCTTTGATGACTTTTGCAGAGCTAAAGGGATTATGAGACATAAGACATGTCCTTATACTCCCCAACAAAATGGAGTGGCTGAGAGGCTGAATAGAACCATTCTAGAGAAGGTGAGGAGTTTGTTAAGTGAAATGGGACTGAAGGAGTCTTTCTGGGCAGAAGCTTCTTCAACGGTGGTTTACATGATCAATAGAACTCCTTCTACACCACTGAATTTTCGAATTCCAGAAGAGATTTGGTCAGGTAAAAAGCCAGAATATTCACATATGAGAAGATTTGGATGTTTGGTTTATTACCATGTTGATCAAGGGAAGTTAAAGTCTAGAGCAAAGAAGGGAATTCTCATGGGGTATCCACATGGAGTCAAAGGATACAGAATCTGGAGTATTGATGAAAGAAAATGCATCATCAGAAAGATGTTATTTTCTGTGAAGGCATACTATATAAGGATGTAGTAAAGGTGTCACGAGAGGGTAAGGAAAAAGAAAAGAGACAAGTTAAAAAGGTCTCTTTCATTATGCCAAATGAGGAAGGTGAATCTTCTGAATCAGAAGCTGAGACATCAGATGAAGGTGGAGTTTCTTCAGGAAATGATGAAATTGTCCCAGATTCAGAAGAAGAATCAGATGAAGGAGGACTTAGAGATTACCAGCTTGCGAGAGATAGAGAAAGAAGGGTCGGGATTAAACGTCCGGGTAGGTTTGATGATCAGGATGTAGCTGCTTATGCTCTAAATGTGTTTCAACGCATGAATGCAGAAGAACCTCAAACTTATGAAGAAGCCATAAGGTGCAAAGATAGACTGAAGTGGATTGCTGCTACTAATGAGGAGATGGAGTCTCTTCTAAAGAATCATACATGGAAGCTGATACAAAGACCTGAAAAAGAAAGAACCATTGGGTGCAAATGGATTTTTAAGCTCAAGCCAGGAATAAAAGGAGTGGAGGAACCTAGATACAAAGCTAGGTTAGTTGCTAAGGGGTTTTCTCAGATTGAGGGGATTGATTATCATGAAGTTTTTTCACCAGTAGTGAAGCATACAACTATACGGCTGGTGTTGTCGATGGTGGTCGATCAAGATTTGGAATTAGAACAGTTGGATGTAAAAACCGCTTTTCTACATGGAAATTTAGATGAGAAGATTCTAATGGAACAACCACAAGGGTTTGAGAAGGGAAATCAGGTCTGTTTGCTACAGCGGTCGTGTATGGGTTGAAGCAATCACCACGACAGTAGAATTTGAGGTTTGATGAGTTTATGAAGAAACAAAAATATACAAGGAGCCAGTTTGACTCTTGTGTATATTTCAAGTGTTTTGGTGATAAGGATTATGTCTATTTGCTGTTATACGTTGATGATATGTTAGTAGTAGCAAAAGACATAAAGGAGATCACAAGACTGAAGCACATATTAAGCAGAGAATTCGAGATGAAGGATCTCGGAGCAGCAAGAAGAATACTTGGGATTGATATTTTCAGAGACAGAAAAAGAGGTATTCTTCAATTATCTCAGCAAGATTATCTTGAAAGAGTTCTTAAAGATTATGGTATGTTGGAATCTAGATCAGTTCAGACCCCTATTGGTACTCATTTTAAACTATCTAGTACTAAGGCAGAGGATATGGCTGATACTGAGATTGAGATGAAGGACATATCTTATTCTAATGCTGTTGGAAGTCTCATGTATGCTATGGTTAGCACAAGACCTGATATTGCTCACGCTGTGGGACTTGTAAGCAGATTCATGAGCTCACCTTGCAAAGATCATTGGATGAGAGTTAAATGGGTGTTACGATACATAAGGAATACAACAGATTTCAAGCTAACATTCACCAAGTCAGATAAGTTTGAAGTCAAAGGCTATTGTGATAGTGACTATGCTGCAGATTTAGATAGAAGGAGGTCAATTACCGGTTATGTCTTTCAGACTGGTGGGAATACTATCAGTTGGCGTTCTGGACTTCAGCATATCGTGGCTCTATCAACGACAGAAGCGGAGTATATGGCTCTGGTTGAAGCAGCTAAAGAAGCTCTCTGGTTGAAAGGGATTGTTGGTAAATTGGGTTTTCCACAGGAAAAAAGTTGAAATCTTTTGTGATTCACAAAGCGCTATTTGTTTGGCCAAAAATAGCGTTCATCATGAGAGAACGAAGCATATCGATGTTCGATATCACTTCATTCGTGATACAGTGGCTGAAGGATCCCTGCAAATTTCTAAGATAAACACAAAGGTAAATCCAGCTGATTTATTAACAAAATCAGTGCCTGTGAAGAAATTCGAAGAGGGATTGGATTACCTGAAGGTGCTTAGGCACTGAAGCTAGCTCTGTGATGAGTTAGGTGACCGGCGGTGAAGTCGGAGAAGGCGACGGTGAAGTCGGAGAAGATGACGAGAGAGGTAAATCTCTCGGAAGTTCTGTCTGAGACCAATCAGGTGGAGATTGTCGTGATTGAGATTGGCTCAGGCAGGTGGGTTCTTCTTTGGAGTTAATGGGCCACGTGGTTGAAGCAGCCCATAAGAAGATTTCCCTGCAACAAAGTAACGACATTAGTTCTCTGCAGTTTACTTCATGTTCAGGAAACAGAGAAGTTGAGTCATTGATAGGTGTTGATCATTGACAAAAGAAAAGCAGGAGGTGTAAGAAGAAGGGTGTTGTATACAGAGTATAAAGTCATCACCAAGAGAGAGAAGAAGATTAAGTTCACGAAGCAAGTAATCACACAAAGAAAGAGAGAAAACAAGTAAGAGAGAAAAGCTAAGTAATAAGAGTGATTCACTTATCTTTTCTTTTGGGGTTTTGAATCTCTGTTCGGTGAGTGACGTGAGCTTGGTGTGAGATCTCTTTTGTACTCTGTTTACTGGATATAACCCTTGTGAGCTGGTGTAAGCTCTCCGAGACGTACCGAGATCACGTTGATCTTGGGAACTCGTATATCTTGGTCTTCTTTATTTTCTGCACAACATCAAACACAATCAAAACAGCAAAGGTATAACTAATAACCTGCAATCTGTATTGATAATCAGAACTGAATACTTGTTAAAACACCAACATGAACGTCTGAAAATGTATGTAGATCTGGTACGGTTACGCAAAGACTTTAGGGGAGGAGGAAGCTAAACCTAGTGGTCATAATCCTTTCATTTACTATCGGTCCAATACTTTGTCCAAAACCCACAAGATCCCTTCTAGTTTTCTTGTCCATCCTCGAAGGTTAGAGAAAATCTAATCACTATTCACAATTACATTTCAGTATTACAAACACCTCAATTTTAGTTTCTTGTTTGACAAGGTATCCGTGGAGAGCATTAGGCTTAAGGAGCATAAGCAGGGTGAGTATTTAGAAGAGCATTAAGCTCTTGAAACTGCATGTTCTTAATTTATATGATTGGTAGAGCTGTGAGCCTTTTTATTATTTTTTTTGTGAAATTATTTAATATGTATATTGATATTTATTTTAATACATCATATATATTTTCATTAATAACATAAGATTTTTTTTTTTTTTAAAAAATATTTAGTAACTATTTCATATTTAAATTATATTTATTTAATTTTTATGTCATTAAATATTTATTTTATGAATAATACATTATTGTTAATGTTAATTTACGAAATTATAAAATTGTAAATTTGATATAAATATAGTTTCATTTTTTTACCAAAATAAATTATAATTTATTTAAGATTTTTTAAATATTTTTGAGCTCAATGCTTTGGAAATGCTCCTTTCAGAGCAGGGAGGGAAGGAGCAGTTTGGGAGCAGTAGCAGTTTCTAAATGCTCTTTTAAAAAAAGTTGATTGGATGAAAAAGAGCTTAATGCTCTACCAATCAAGGCCATAGACAATGTAGTTGCTGCACAAATCTCAGTAATGGAAGAGCCTAAAGCATCACGAAGAATCATATGTTCTCCGAGTTCAGTGTCTCACTGGTCAGAGATCATTGAGATGCTAAGACCCAAATACCCATTATACCCATCTGAGACCAAATACTATTTTTTTTTTTCGTCTAGAATTTTTATTGGAATGAAAATGTTACATGGTGTTACACACCTAACCAAACATATTAAGTTGGCGGATAACAAGAGATCCCCAGAAATTAAGCCCATACAAGGGAAACAACAAATTAACCTAAAGCCACAACTAATCTAGATTCAAAACAAGAATAAAAAAGAAGCAGTTTAATCCTAAGACATCATTAACCCTCCTTACAAAACCGCATAGAAAAACACCACAAAGAACCTAAAACCTTACCGAAGATGCCCACGGCCAAACCTTCGGCAACAAAGTCCTCCTAAAACCTGCTTTTTGATTCTAAAAATCAAAACTTCTTAACCGGCCAGATAAACACCGATGTGTGAATTCCCGGAAACGGTAGAGTCAACGAAATGACTAGACACACCTAGGAAGAAGCCTTTGAGGAGATCACGATCAGATCTGTAAAGCAGCGTCATTGAGCGACTTGTCAAACCCGGATAACACCGACCACCAGAGAGGAAAAACGACGAAAGATCGAACAAGCGAGAGACCAAACCTGTAACCACAAAACCTTGGTGAGAGACGACAGCTAAGGAGGAGCCAAGAGTCACCGGAACCCAGATTGGCCGAAGATCTAGAGTGGAAAATCAAAGACCAAGACGTTTACCGAAGATCCACCAGATCCGGCATCTTGAGCCTCGATTCAACACAGATCTAGACCAGGTCTGGAAAATAAACCACAAAAATCGATTTCTAACTGAAAAGGATCCAAGAAAAGGTGGAGAAAACAGAAGAGCAAATCAGGAAAAGGGAAATACAACGAGAAAACCTCAACTCCGGTGCTGAGAAAGCCACCAGAGCAGGTGACAAGAGGGATAGCGGCTGTTTGAGCAAGGAGAAGAGAGAGAGCAAAATTAGGTTTTAAAACTGAGACCAAGTACTATATACTCTGTATTTAAAAAAAACTTTAAGACATGTTTTGATGTATTTAAGTAAAAAAAAAACTAATTGTTTCAGGTGTGGTAGTGAAGGACTTTATAGCTTGGACACAACAAAGATAGATGAACTTGGCTTTCAAGTCATTAGCTGAAAATGTTCGATGACTGTATCAAGTGTTTCCAAGACAAGGGTCTATAAAATGTTTCCAATTCCATCAATCATCTCGTTCATGTCTTGTGGAGTTTCTTTGGACTTGGTAGTTAAAATGTGTTAAACTCACTCGCAGACAGACTGGTAGTTTCTCACGTGCTTGACACATGGACATATCCGTACAACGAAAGGTACAAGAGCACGTGTCTCTCATACTATTCACACAAAAGTAGTGGAGAATCCCACTTTGAAGAGCCTCCCATTTGATTTTGCTCGCTCATAATAAGTCATACTATCACAATTAGCCGCCCTCAAAAGCATTTCCTGCGATCCAGCTGTTATATAATATAAAGTATATTGTAAAATGAATAATTTAAGCCCTACGTTGCAGAATCATAACCACGCTAGTGTCATCTGTCTTTTTCAATCTCCTAGTCTCAGTGCATCTGATCATACAAACATTACAAGAAAGGTAGAATACGAAAAGGACATAGAAGAACACATATTTCCCAAACATAAAGATTCATCAAGGTTTTAGAGGATGTGAAGCCAACATCCAAATCCCCTGCAAATAAACTCATTTGGAACTAGCACATGAAAAGACTAAAGGAGATCAAACCACAAGATCATGCTTTTCTTTCTACCTTCTTCTTCATGTTACTATGATGCAGCAAATGAAACTAACAACTAAACCGAGCTTACGAAATTTCTCTGTCTTAAAAACGAAACGATTATTTTTAATACATGATAAAACCAGAATCTTTCTAGGTTCTTGAAAAAAAAGCTACAAGAGCTTCAGGGGCAAGCGATATTGAGAGGAGGGGCAAGTTGATCAGCAAAGGCAAACTTGAAATCACCAAGCTCGAGCTCCACATCTGTGAAATCGAAATCAGGCAGCTCACTCGGAACGCTGTTTTCAAACCCGGAAATGTCGATATCACCATTATCCAGCAAAGAGAAGTCATCCATGAGGAAACCATCAAAGTCCAGCTCCACTCCATTTCCATTTCCACCAGAAACCATAGACTCTCCCTCTCCCTCTGCTGCTAAGAAGCTCAGATCAGGGATTTGCAGACGAGAAAACTCGAGACTGTCAAACTCTCCCTTGGCTACATCACCAGAAGCAGAAGCAGAAACATCTTTGCTCAGAGACATCTTCTCCTCAGATACAACAGATGAAGAAACAGAAGCATTACGTGAAGAGACCAATGCATCAAACTCAAGTCTCTTGTCAGCATAAGCCTTTGCAGCTTCTTCAACAGTCTCATAAGTACCCAACCATTGCTTAGTCTTAGTGATTGGGTTTGTAATCTCAGCAGCCCATTTCCCTGATTGCCTCAGCCTAACTCCCACAGGATTGTTAGATTCCCTATGACTCTGAGCTTTCTTTCTAAACGTTTTGCAACGATCATGAGACCTCTCGGAGAGCTGATAGTAGGGGAGAGTGATCTCACGGACAATACGCTTTACCTTTCGAGGTTTATGTAACTCAAACCACTCGTCGCTAGAGGAATCATCAGTAGCATCAGGGTCATTGACAACAATACGGACTTTTCTCAACAGCTTCTTCATATCTGATTCACACTTCAAAACACCAAGAACACAGCTAACTAAAACCCACTCAAAACCTTCAGATCAAAACTGCTGAATCAAAAATCTCAAAGCTTTCTTTTTGTTTCAGCGAACTATGAAAAAGGGTGATTTTTGCTTTTTGTGGAAACCCCTAAATACTTCAACACCAGAACAAGTCCTGCACAAAATCGGAAAAACCCAGAACCAAGTTAGAGTCTTTATGAGCATAGAAGTTAAAGGAGAGAGAGGAAAGGTCAAAAGGTCATACCTTTTAGGTCTTAAGCCCATGGAAATGGATGGGACCTCAAGAACAAGCCTCCGCCTTGAGCAGAAGCGAAGAGCGTTAAGAAGAGCCGTCAGACCAAAGCACAAAGCAGACGATTGAATCGGGAAGGAGATGTGAAACAGAGACAAAATCACAGCCGAATCAAACACAGCCGACATAAAATCCGCGTTACAAACGCCTTTGTTCTTCCGATTTCCTCCTCGAAACCCCCCCAAAGTTTCCGACTTTATACACTGTTTGTTCCTGTTCTTCAAAAGACACAAAACCCAGAATTACAACGGATCCGTGATAGTTTTTAGAGACGAAGAGAAAAGAAATAGGTTCTAAAAGGTTCTTGAGTTTAAACTTCGATACAAAGAAGATGAAGAAGATCTTTAGAAAGAGAAAAACATAAATTACAGCGACAGAGTTTACAGTAAGCAAGCAAATCTAAGGGAAGAGATGGTTCAGAGAAAGAATTTAATTTTAGTATTAATTAATGAATTCATGAACAAATCCAAAGAGGTTGAGGAGGAAAAAAACAGAATCTTTCACCTACCTTATGTGAGCTTACTCTGAATTTCTCTCTCTCCTTTTTTCTCAGGATAAAGCTTTCTATCGCTTTTATATTCGGTTACTTCCCCTCAATTTTCGCTTACACTTGGTTATATCGTTTTGTTTACTCTATTTGCTGCTGTTCAAAAGGAGCATATCTCTTTTTATTTTATTTTCCGATAACCATTAAAACGAAAAAGTAACAAGTTTCCACAAAAAAAATGGAAGAAAATTACATACTATATACTTTGAAAATATCAGATTGTTTGAGATTTTTTTTTTATATACTGAAGTAAAGAGTGAGATGGGAACTTTTTTTTAACTATACAATCAAATTGTGGAATTTCATTTTAGAAAAGTGAGATATAGAAAATGAAAAATAAAACTGTTTGATGCTTTAGGTGATGATTGGTTCTCCCGCTACCACCCGCAAACGCAGCGTTTGCGGTTCGTAGCGGTTCTTAGCGTTTTATAACAATCACGACAACCGCTTTCAACCGCTCTATACCACTCTGTACCGCTCTATATCGCTGAAAATCAAAAGCTCCTTTCCGCAAGCGTTTGCGGTTGCGGGCGGTTGCGGTTTGAAAAAAAAAAAAAAAAAACATAATATCTCCAAATTTGGAATAAGGGTATATTTTTTTGAAAAATACCATAATTATGTTTAAAAATTTCGAAAATACCCTAAATTTTTTCTGTTTTGAAAAATACACTTTTAAAATGTAAAAAGTATGTTTTGACGTGATTTAAACAAAAAAATAATAAATAATTACAAATTATAAACGAAAATTTAAAAAAATAATAAACTAATAAGTTTTTTTTCAAATAAATATAGTATATGTTAAACTGAAACAAATTTTAATATTTTGGATCTTTATATAAACAACTTAACCTCATACACATTCAAACCAAATGAAACTTTAAATAAATTAAAACTTTACATATATTTAAAGTTTATAAATTATTAAAAATTTAAAAGTGGAGAAATATATCTTTCATTTTTAATGTTTATCTTTTGAAAAATTTAAATATTTTTGAAACTTTGCATAAACAACTTTAATCTCACCCCATTTAAACTTTATATAAACAATCTTATATTTTTATTAAATTGTTTAAAAAAAAACTAAACAGGTAATTAGGATGTTAAAATGATACAAAATTATTATCAAATATTAATATTTTATATTTCTTATTTGAATTTCGTTTTTATTAAATTAGGAATAATCATTTTACATATAAAAAGTGTATTTTTCAAAACCAAAAAAAAAGGGTAGTTTTCAAATTAAAAATTCATCAAAAAATATATTTCAAAAAAAAAATTATTAATATGGTTATAAATGTTTTGAATAATTATATATTATTTTTATTTTAGTAACTTTTGGTTAAACCGCTCTTGCACCCGCTGGCTAACCAGTCAAAAATATCCCGCAAACGCAACCGCTATGAATTGCTATACCAGTCGTACAAACAGCTTTTAATCGCAAACTCCCGCTTCCGCAAACTCCCGCAGCCGCAAACTCCCGCAACCGCAACCGCAGCGGTTAAACCAGTCAGACCCTTAGTTACAAAAAATGTCATTGGAAATTCATGTCAAATAAACTTTACACCTAATTTTATTTACTTGGAAAATTTTATTTTTGATAATATACAGGTTTTTTATTTTCTATTGTAATTCTTGATTTTTTTTCTTTTCCGAAAATCATCGTTCTATACATATATATATATATATATATATATATCTTATTATAATTTACCATGTACTTTAAATCTTTAATATCCATACATAAACAACATGCCTTAAGGTACTGTTGTAGTTCTCACATTTCTACAAATCTATCAGATTGGACTTTTGAGATTTCTAGTGTTTACTTCTCTTTCACTTTGTGTACACTTTGTAGTTTGTACTCTGCATCTGAAGTTAGGTTCTCTCTTTCAACTTCTAAATTCATCAAGTTGCATCTCCTAACTTTTAATGCTCTTTTATTCCTAGAGAAGGGAAATAACATGTAAACTCAAACACTGCAAGTAAAAGAAAAACAATATATCCAGAGCTTGGATTAGAAGATTCAGGGATCCAATAGCGTCTATTTGATGATTTCTGGCCATCACTGACACAACAACTGGGGAAATATTTGTCTCATTCAACAAACACTTCATTTTTCTGAAGAAAATATTATCATTATCATCAACATCGATATCAAGATCCTGGTACAATTATTGGCAAGAATCTTGAACGCTTCGTTAGTGCAGTAAGACAACTCAATTTTACCTCTCTAAAACGAAGTAACAATAAATAGTGTATAAGAAGACATGTTGATATATTAGTACGATTTGTGATGATCAAAGTCTAATATAAGGAGAAGAAAATACAAAGACGAAAAGGAAAAGAGCCTAACATGTTGAAACAAGATTGGTGATGTCGTCACTATGGGTAACCCTCCATCACCCAATCAAACTCCTTCAGCAGCCTACATTTTTCATCGTAAGGGATAGGATCTTTTCCAGCTGCTAGGTTTCCCCAATACCAATGTAAAGGTCCAACATGAACTATCGGTCCACGTCCACCTACGCCGTCAGGCTGTCCTAAGAAAATGTTGACGTGTCCGAAACAGATACGTTTGAGAGTACGGATGTATGGTAAGTCTCGTGACTTGTCTCCCAGGATCAGAAAAATATTTAGATACTGATTGGCAAGTATAGAATTTATCATGTCATCTTGAATCGACCTAACTCTCTTATCCTTTGATCCTCCTGCTTCGGGTACGTTATTTGGCTGGATTCCAGCGGAAAAAACTCCATCTCCTTCCCCTTCGTGTTACCATAAGCAAACAATGAAACCGGACCAACACAACCAGCGTTTTTCAGGGCACTTTTAATGTTACTCGCAACCTCTTCAAGACTTGACCCATCAGGAATCTTGCAATCCTCTATGTCCCAAAACACGTTTACCCTCCTTTCTGCCAAGAACAAACAAAAAGAAAAAGAAAAAACTAGTGAATTCTTTACTATAGGTGTTGATTGGTTCACCCGCTGCGTTTGCGGGTAGTAGCGGTTATTGGCGTTTGACAACAATCACCACAAACGCTTTATACCGCTTCAAACCGCTCAATATCCCTCAAAATCAAAAGCTCCTTCCCAGCAGCGTTTGTGGTTGCGGGCGGTTGCAGGTGGGTAATTAAAAAAAAAAATACAAACTTATATAAAATCCGAAAAATAAAATTTGGATAATCTTTATTAAAAAATAAGATTTGGATAATAGAATCACAATATAAATAAATAAAAAACAGTATTTTTAGTCAATATTCATTAAAATCATATCATAATTATATATTTACTAGATAAAGGCCCGCGTATACGCGGGATTTGTTTACTTTTTTTTTGAAACAAATTACCAAAAAAATTATCAAACAAAATATAATAAATTTTAAAAATAAATAAAATAATATTGAGAACCCGATAAGAAATCTCTGAATGACATAAGATGCACAAAAACTTAAATTATGTATTCTTGTTTATTTTTTACTTTTTCCGTTAGAATATGGAACCTTTATATCTTAGAATATGATGCATGAAAATATTTTCTTTTTCTTTTTACCGTTAGAATATGGAACATTTTTCAGTTTGAATATGGACATATATATTATTTTCCATTTCTTTAATTTTAGAATATGAGTTATGCAAAATACTTTTTCCTTCTTCCGTTATAATATGGAATATATTTTTTTTCGTTTAGAATATTGCAAATATATGTTTTCCTTTTGTTAACACATTTTAAAATAGTTTTTTTTGTTTCTTTTTTTTCAAAACACATATCAAAGTCTTAATATGAGTAAAATTAAAGTTGACACATGTCGCGATAACCTATTATAGAGGTTCACATAACCTATTTCATGCAGATAGAAGACTTTATTTAATACATTATTAAGAATTTAAGATTAGTTAATATAACCTATTACATGTACTATTAAGATTTTGTTTAATTGAATTTATTATGTGTTTACCTATTCCATGTTATGTACTAATAGGATACTGTTTAACTGAATTTAATATATGTTTGGACAGTATATATTTGATGAATGTGAAACATTTTTCTGTTAGGATATAATAAATATTTTGTTTTCTTTTACTATAATGGATACAATTTTCTCTTTTCTAAATTTTTGTTTAATTTTTTTCTTTTACTATGATGTGCACATGTCATGATCTTAACAACCATAAAACTAAAAGTGACACATTTTGCGATCCTGTAAATTATAAAAATCATATGTGTCGCAACCACGTTGCGCACATCCAGCTTTGTATAATAAGATTTTCAATTTATATAATAAGATTTTCGTTTTTATTATAAAAGATTAAAATTTTCCCTTTAATTTTCTTTTTAGTTTACATATTATTCCATGTACTAATAGGAATTTTTAAAATATGGGTTTATGTAACTTATTTCATACAGTTTTAGGATATTTAGTTTACATACCTATTCTATGTACTAATATGTATTTTTTATTATATTATTTTCAATTTATATAATAAGATTTTCGTTTTTATTATAAAAGATTAAAATTTTCCCTTAATTTTTTTTCCTTTTTCCCAAAGACATGTGTCACGATCTTAACGGAAGTAACATTAAAAGTGACACATGTCGCGATCCTATATTTTATAAAAATCATACGTGTCGCAAGCACGTTGTGCGCATCCAGCTTTATATAATAAGATAAGTTCTACAAATCAAAATTCTCATGTTGAACCATAAATTTAAAATTTTCATTATAATATAATTTTGATATTTTTATAATTATATATGTTTAACCGCTATTGCATCCGCAAGTGAACCAGTCATAAGTAACCTGCAAACGCATCCATTTTCAATTATTATGCCAATCGTACAAACTGCTTAATAACGCTTTTAATCACAACCGCCCGATTCCGCAAACTCCCGCACCCGCAACCGCAGCGGTTAAACCAGTCATGCCCTATATTAGATCTACTAATTTTTTTTTAATCATCTACATATGTTAAGACCATCTCCAACCCTTCATGCTATATGTTATTGCAAATGGCAAAAATATAGCAATAGCATTGGGTTTCTCTCCAACCCCTCATGCATATATCATGCTATAATTTTTTTCCAACTTATTATTAATTGTTAAAACTACTTGATTTCTTCAAATTTTACAAAGTGAATCATTTGTTTTTCTTTTTTTGCAAAAACAACCAGAATTTTTATTTTTTTTATTATTATAATATTAAAACAAAATACATCATATTACATAAAAATTATAGAAAACAAAGATTTTAACCTATTGTTTTATGTTTTTTGAATTTCAGTATTTTTAAAAATAAAATTTAAGTTTATTATGGTTATGTTTTTATATTTCTATGAAATAAATATTATTTATATTTTGAAAAAGTTATGAGTATTGTTTATTTATTTAAATAAATCATAATCAATATAATTAAACTGTTAAATTAAAAGTAATTACAAATTGAAGGACTATTTTATAAATAAAAAAGTTCAATGGCAAAATAGCATATTGCATAATCTCATGCCAAATATAGAAGCAAAAATAGCATGATGCTATTTTGCAATAGCATATGCAATTGGGTTGGAGCAAAAATTATGGCAAAATAGCATATATGTCATATTTAGCATGGGGTTGGAGATGCTCTAAGACCATCTCCAACCCCTCATGCCATATGTTATTGCAAATGGCAAAAATATAGCAATAGCATTGGGTTTCTCTCCAACCCCTCATGCCATATATCATGCTATAATTTTTTTCCAACTTATTATTAATTGTTAAAACTACTTGATTTCTTCAAATTTTACAAAGTGAATCATTTGTTTTTTTTTTTGCAAAAACAACCAGAATTATATTTTTATTATTTTTTATTATTATAATATTAAAACAAAATACATCATATTACATAAAAATTATAGAAAACAAAGATTTTAACCTATTGTTTTATGTTTTTTGAATTTCAGTATTTTTAAAAATAAAATTTTAAGTTTATTATGGTTATGTTTTTATATTTCTATGAAATAAATATTATTTATATTTTGAAAAAGTTATGAGTATTGTTTATTTATTTAAATAAATCATAATCAATATAATTAAACTGTTAAATTAAAAGTAATTACAAATTGAAGGACTATTTTATAAATAAAAAAGTTCAATGGCAAAATAGCATATTGCATAATCTCATGCCAAATATAGAAGCAAAAATAGCATGATGCTATTTTGCAATAGCATATGCAATTGGGTTGGAGCAAAAATTATGGCAAAATAGCATATATGTCATATTTAGCATGGGGTTGGAGATGCTCTAAGCAACCCAACAACAGAAAAGGTATAAGACATCTAAGAGCATGTTTATTGGTGATATGGTGTCAAAGTTTCTTATCTTTAAGTTATATTAATAATTAATGTTTTTAGTGTGAACACAAAATAAATATTAGTATTTAATTGAAAGTGTCTCTAAAACTAAGAAAAGTTATCTCAACATCTCTTATATAACATACTTTAAGAGCACTTTTCTAATTTATAAGAGACTCTTAATTTAATAATAATATTTTTGTGTGTGTTCACACTTCAAATATTAATTATTAATATAGAATAAAGATAAGAAACATGATAACATATCACCAATAAACATGCTCTAACACATGATTTTGATGCAGACAGAGTTAGAGATGTATATTTACCGGCATATTTTTTGTAGTACATACTATCCATGGTTAGTTTTGACGGATTGATGGATAATAGAGATAAACCGTAAGTTACTAGTAACGGGATAGAGACAAGAATCACGAACTCTATATTCAACTTCAGCTAGGGTTGAATTGAAGTGGCGATAGAGATAAGAGAAAGAAGAGTTTTTGAATGTTTCTAGATTATTGGAAGGGACCTTGAACAATATAAAGGACTCAGACCTTTGAATAACAACAAGCTTTTATATTGTGAAGACATAATAAAACACTTAAAAGCCTAACCACCTAAAGCTTAAACATAAAAGTAATATTTCCTATATTAGAGACTTTTGCTACAAGTCTAACCAACTTGGTTTTGTTAACTCTCTTTCACTTTGTGTAAACTTTGTAATCAGCACTTTAAGTTAGTTTCATTCTTTTAACATTTAAATTCATCAAGCACTACAAGAAATCAACTAAGTAACGTCACTTTATTAGCGTCACTTTATTAAGTGACTTCATTTCATTATTTTAAACGGAACTTAACATCAGTTTTCTAATGGACTGATGCGAAAAAGGAAACACACATTTGAATCCAATAAGAAAAACCCAACTAAAACATATCGTCGCGTTATGCTTGATTTCAGAAATTTGGAATCGATTTCAAACAGTGACATTCCTTTGTTCCGATGAAACAGTGAAATTTCAAATTCCTTTCGTTCGTTTATCATCACTTTTTCAAATTTCAAATTCCTTCAATTCTCGATCATCACTTCGCGAAATCTACTTTCGAAATAGCTCGACGAAAAAGGTTAGGGAAACTGCAAATTCGTAGGTTTTTGTTTGTCGAGTTCTGGACTCGAAAATTGCTTGTTTCTGTGCATGATTTGCTTATTTCTGTGCTCGATTTGCTTGTTTTTGTGCTCGATTTGCTTGTTATGAGTTTGATTTGCTAGATCTGAGCTCAAATTGCTTATATGAGTTCGATTTGTATACACTATGCATCTGAGTTTGTTGTTTACTCATTTGATTAAGAGTAGATTCCTTCTTTTTCCTTCTTCAAAGACACACGATCATCAATTCTGATCATCAAATGCATAATACCTTTTTTTTGGGTTCTAGAACTTGAGCATCTTAGACACTTTATGCGTTTTTGAGGTTCTAAACGTTTTCTGTGTTTTGTGTTTGGAGAAAGGAGAAATCACATAGAAAGGCTTGTCATCCATATACAGGTAAACTTTCACAACTCTCTGTGTGTTTATATGCTATTACGTAAATGTTCAGAATGTTTGAATGTTAAACAAGCTTATTGGTGTTGGAATGTTATATATGTTTGAATGTTAAACTTGTTTAGAATGATATAATCTTGCTCTCTCTGCTCTATGATATAATCTTGCTTTCTCTGCTCTATGATATAATCTTTTTGTGGCTAGAGAATTTTGATATGATGATTCTTTAGATTGGTTTGTGATAATTGGTTTGCATTATTCGTAGATTGGTTTAAAAATGGACAAATCTTGGATAACGAAACATCGTTTATCTGAAGACTACTTGAATGGAGTCAATAGTTTCTTGGATTTTTCTTTTAGTACTATGAAGGCGGAGATGATCAAATGTCCTTGTCAGCGTTGCTGCCTAGTTAGATACAAGATTAGGGTTGAGGTTAAGAGTGATTTGATATGTCATGGTTTTCTACCAACATATACAAATTGGTATCTACATGGTGAAGAATTAGATACACATGAGGATGAAGAATTAGAGCCTGAATCTCGTGGAGAGTATACTGAAGACTCGACTAAGAATCTGCTTGAAGACCAGACTAATACTCTGCTTGAAGATGTCTTTCCAGATATGGCTGCAAGTTTTGAATCTGATGATAGTATGCCCAGAGAGGATCAGTCAGAAGATCATCCGAAACAGAGTGATGCATATGATGATTTGTTATCAGACTGCAATGAAGCTCTTTATGAAGGATGTCAGTCTTTTAGCAAATTATCATTCATGCTTAAGCTGTATCACATCAAGTGTATGTGTAGGATAAGTGACAAGGAAATGTCTATGGTAATTGATCTCTTAAAGGAAGCTTTTGAGCATGCAAAGCTGCCGGATTCATTTAACGACATGAAGAAAATTATTCGGAAGTTAGGATTTACGTATCAAACAATTCATGCATGTGATGCGGAGTCAGGTTTTACCAAACTCCTAGACCTCTGCAAGTGCACAGATCGCGGAAGTATGGGTATCGAACACAAGGACTGGCTATTGAGTACACTTTGTAACTATGGATTTTGGATCAAGCTAAAACAAAAGTATGATTGAGGTTGTAATGGTGAACCGAACTAGCAAGTATAACGAGGTTGTAAGCAATAAAGGAAAAGCGCTAGGTCATAGGGGCTATCGCAGAGAAGCAAGCAATGATCAATGAAACAATGATAGATTAATTGATTAGGGATATTGGGATATTAAGAACCATCTAGAACACAGATCACGAATATAAAACCATTCCACTTTCGAGGCTCCGGCTCCTTTGCTAATCTACCTAGTCGCTAAACTTTTGGTATGTCCCTAGGTGATTAGATCAAGCATTAGAATGAATAGGTTCTGATACAGTTCACTAGATATAGATAGATCAACTTTCGCAGTCTAAGAAACCTAGCTTGTCAAAGAATATGTCCGGCGAATGATACACACTGTCGAGGCTCAAATCAACCTAAGATCGGATTACTAGATGCGCGGTAAAGCAATCAGCATTAGTTAAGTGCACAAGACGAGACAAAGACTCTAATATAATCCCTAGCTAATCATTGAAATCAAAGATCATGCAAGCAACTCATTGAATAGTAACCCTAGCAACCTAACTAGTGGATTACTCAGACATGATCAAAGCAAACACACATAGAGATGAAGAAAACATGATTGCAATAAAACTTAGAGTAGGAAATCGAAATACAGGGCGGCTCTCTTTCTCAAGAGGCTAAAAATCCATATATATAGTGCTAGGTCTTTCTAGAGGCGGCTAGGGTTAAGCCGGGCTTGAAAACATAAGTTTGGGCTTCAAAAAGGGCTTCGGGTCGACCGCGGCGTTGGGACGGTCGTGCGGGACGATCGGCCGGACAATCGGGTTGTGGCCGAGTCGGAACGGTCGGGGTCGGACGGATTCACGGTCGGTCGGCGTGGTCGAGCGGATAGAGTTTGGCCGATGAAATCTCTCGGCCGGACGCGAGGCGTTACTCCCGGGTCGGACGGAGCGTTCGTGCGCGGTACGTGAAGCGAGTTGCGCGGCCGCGAGGCTTACTTCCCGGCTCGCGCGCTTTGGTCGTGCGCGGTTGGCGTGGCGGTGTGGCGTGGCCGACCGCGGGCTTGAGTTTCCCGGGTCGTGATGCGTGATCGGCCGAGTGGTTTTGGACTTTGGCCGAGACTTCAGTCGGACGGACGCAGCTTTGGCCGAGCGCGGAACATGCGTTCCTCGGCCAGCCGGACTGCGCGGTTTGGGCGCTGTTCTCTCGATAGAGCCGTCTGGACAGTCTCCACTCTTTTGGCTATAACTCCTTTTCTACTCATCCAAATGAGCCATTCCAATTGCGTTGGAAAGTTAACTCAATCAGAGCACGCAGGGAACTGGTCTTGATGAAATCCATTGAGTAGATCTTTTTCTGGGCCCTCTTAAAGTTGGTGCTTGTGCATGGAGCTGCTTGAAGTGCAAATCCTATGGTTTTGCTCCAAAATGCATCATTTCACCTGTTTAGACTCTAGACACTATAAACACAGTAAAACTACCTTTTTAGATAGAAAACCTGCCAAAAACCATTAGAAAACAATGCTAAAACAGTATAAAAAGTGGGTAAATTAGAGGTATATCAGCATGTCCTAATGATTGCATGCTATATTGGGGAGAAGATGCATCTAGAATCAAATGCTAAGTTTGTGAGAGTTCAAGGTGGAAGACGAAGACTGCTGAAGTAGTTAATGATGATGGATTAGCTAAAAAGAAAAAGAAAAGGAAGCAAGAGGCTGCTAAAGTCCTCAGATACTTTCCTTTGAAACCACGTCTACAACGTTTATTCATGTCATCAAAAACGGCTGAAAAGATGAGGTGGCATGCGAGTTCTGAGAATTTAGATGGCAAGTTAAGACACCCTAGAGATGGAAAGGCTTGGAAAGAGTTTAATCAACAGTTTCCAGAGTTTGCATCAGAGCCAAGGAATGTAAGGCTCGGACTAGCACCAGACGGATTCAACCCTTTTGGTAGTATGAATACAAACTACACTGTATGGCCTGCGCTTCTGTTTCCTTACAACTTCCCGCCTTGGATGTCAATGAAGCAAACATCTATGATCCTTTCAATGATGATACCTGGGAAACATATGCCGGGTAATGAGATTGACATATACCTACAGTCTCTTATCGAAGAACTAAGAGAGTTATGGGATGATGGTGTGCCAACTTATGATGCTTCTTTGAAAGAGACATTATGTATGTGTGCAGCCTTGCTATGGACCATAAGTGATTTTCCAGGTCTTGGAAGTTTATCTGGCTGGAATACATATACATGACTAGCTTGTCCTTCTTGTAACTTTGATGCTAAGGAGTTTCGTCTATGCCATGGGAAGAAGAATTGCTACATGGGACATCGTAGGTTTCTTCCTGAAAATCACATGTTTCGGAAAGACAAACAACATTTTGATGGTTTCACAGAAACAAGGCTTCCTCCGATTACACTATCTGGCACTGTTATTCTCGAGCAACTTGAAGGCTTAGTTGTTACATTAGGCAAGAAAGTAGACTTAGTTGGGAGGAAAAGAGGCCGAGCAGATGAAGTACTTCAGTGGAGGAAAAGAAGTATATTTTTCAAGTTACCTTATTGGAAACATCTTCTCTTGCATCACAATCTTGATGTGATGCATATAGAGAAGAATGTGTTTGATAATCTTGTCTTTACAATACTAGATGACAAAAACAAGTCCAAAGATCATCTTAACGCGAGGAAGGATCTTCATGCACTTGGTATTCGCTCTGAGTTGTGGCCTGATCAAAGTGGCAAATATCTTCCAGCCTGTTTCACAATGACCAAGAGAGAAAAAGATATGTTTCTTACCATATTGAAGAGTGTAAAGCTATCTGACGGGTATTCTTCTGATATTTCCAAGTGTGCTGATCTAAATCAACGAAAGCTGGTGGGTTTAAAAAGTCATGACTGCCACATTTTGATGGGTCAATTACTGTCTATTGCAATCCGCAATGTATTGCCACAAGAAGTAGTGTTTGTTGTCATAGAGTTATGTAGCTTCTTTCGGGATATATGTTCGAAAGTATTTGATACCAAGGAGCTGGATCATTTACAAGAGCATATTTCACTTACTCTCTGCCACTTAGAAATGATATTCCCTCCATCATTTTTCACTGTGATGGTGCATTTGATCATTCATCTGACAGAAGAGGTGAAACTAGGAGGTCCAATTCATTTTCGTTGGATGTATCCAATTGAGAGGTACCTTCTGTTAATTCTTTGCTTGATTCTAGTTTGCTTGATAGTTTGCTTGATAGTTTCTTAACAAAACTGATATTTTTCTATAGGATATTTGGGTGTTTTAAATCTTATGTTCGAAACAAAGCAAGGCCAGAGGGTTCTATATGTGAACAATACATTGCAGATGAGTGTCTTACATTTTGTTCTATGTATTTTGATGGAGTGGAAACATGATTTAATCGTGTTGGGAGGGTTGATGATCATGCTATGATGGAACTGACCTAAATCACAAATTCCACTTCTCTTTCCTTCTTTTAACATTTAAATTCATCAAGCTAGTTGCATCTTCTTAATTTTTATGATTCTTTTATTCTTAGAGAAGGAAAATAACACATGCATGTAAACCCAAACATTGCAAACTTAGTAAAAGAAGAACAATGTAAGCTTAAGCTCATCAAACAAGATTGAGCTAAAATAGTAATAGTCAACCAAATATTGTGAACCGTTTGTTTTTCTTCTTGTCTTCATCATGTTGTCTCCTCTGATAGTAATTATATTCCTCAAGAGCTTGGACTAAAAGGTTCAGGGATCCAACAACGTCTATTTGATGGTTTCTAGCCATAAGATTCTCTGCGACATCAGCTGGTGAAATCTTTGTCTCTTTCAGCAAAGACTTGATTTTCTTGCAGAAAGGATGATCATCATCTTCATCATTAAGATCAAGATCTAGGTAATTCTTGGCAAGAATCTTGAACGCTCCGTAAGTGCAGTAAGACAACTCAATGTGCATATCCATTCTTCCTCTCCTAATCAAAGCTGGGTCAAGCTTTTCCAAGTGGTTTGTTGTGAACACGACAATCCTTTCTTGCCCACAGGCCGACCAAATACCATCAATAAAGTTTAGAAGCCCGGAGAGAGTAACCGAGTTTGTGTCTTTACCTTGCTCTCCACTCTTCTCCGCCGTGTTTCTGTCTTTCTTGATTCTGTCACCGCTGAGATCAACGGAGCAATCTATATCTTCGATCACAACAACGGACTTGCTTGATGTTGCCGTAAGAAGTTTTCTCAGCTCCGAGTTGTTCTTTACAGCCGTGAGTTCGAGATCGTAAATGTTGTAGTTTAGAAAATTAGCCATGGCTGCAATCATGGTGGACTTACCGGTTCCTGGTGGACCATACAGCAAGTAACCTCTCTTCCAAGCTTTTCCGATTTTCTTGTAGTACTCTTTCCCGTTGCTGAAGGCAACAAGATCATCCAAGATCTCTTGTTTCTTCTCTGGATCCATGGCTAATGTCTCAAAACTCGCGGGATGCTCAAAGTCAATATATCTCCACATGTTATGGCTTGAAACCCATTGAGAACTAGGGTTATTCGTGAACAGCTTCGTCTGCTTGTTCTTAGCTTCAACAGATTTTCCTTCTTCAACAACATATTGTATGTACGAATCAGTTATGAGACTCCTTGCGCTGTTGTGGAAAGTGAGCTTGTAAGATCTGATTCCATCAGTATCGGTCACAGTCTCCCACCAAACGTTAGCTCCTTTGTATTCGTCTCTGATTTTGGCCTCGTCTCGTTTCAAGACCAAACCTTTGCTTTCCTTCACCTGGCTTCCTCTGAGAAGTTTGGACTTCTCGGTTGCTTTTGACCCAAGGTAGGTCTCGATGGCTGAGAAAGCGTGGTTGAAACGGTACTCATCGCTTTCTGGGAAGTTGATCTCGACGTAAGGAGAGACCAAGTTGGTGAAATGGTCTAAAACTCTCTGGGCAAAGCCGAGTTGTTGTAATGAAGAGAAAATAAACTCTTTGATTGCAATCTTTAGGTGGTTGGGGAAGAGTTGTTGAATGGTTGCCCAAATGAAGAATAAACTTGCCACGCTTGAGCCTATACCTCCCAATGCATCGCCCATCATCATCATCGTTTACCAACTTTCTTTTCGTTCTTTGTAAGATTTTTGTGGAGCCAAACCACTTGTTTGTTTTTTGGTATGTTTTTCTTTGTTTTTTTGGTGGAGTAAACGTGATCATATTTATAGTATTAGTACCCTTAATTAAGTTTGCATGCATGTACACTACTGTATATAATATTTTAAAAGACTCACGCGCCAAATCACTCGAGTCGAGTCAGAGTCTCCACCAAAGACACGAAGAAAAAACATTGACGTCACAACTCACAGGTCGGTCGGAACTCGGAAGTCGCAACTTCTTTTCTTGAACCGTTGAACAAGTGTTACCATTTACAAATATTATAAAGAGACGTAGTCCCTTTAATTCTTCTTTACTTATGACGCCGGTTTCGATTTTCAAAACGAGGGACTAAAATAAATTGGACGAACCGCCGTAGTTGAATAGCACAATTTTTAGAATTTCCAATGAATACGATTACTAAATTTTAACGACCGACTTAAAACTTCCACTGAAGAGGCAATCCTCCTTTTCAGAAAGAACATCATTTTGACACAATCCATACATATTAAGAATCTCGTAAAACAATAATCATACTATTATTTATATATCAGTAATTAAATGTTAATAGTTTATATTCAAAGATTGTTAGTTTTCAATTCAATATAGAATACGTGTGTAAAAGTCATATATGAAACGTTAACCACAATCGAAATACATTGATAGATCTAATTTGGGAATTGGTCAAAATTGTTATACAACATAAGTATTTGATGTTGTTTATGTTGCAAAACATAAGTTGGTACTTCATCCTATGGGTGATAGCCAAAGATAAAGATCGCATGATTTTAAAAGTGAATGCGAAGAAAGAAAATTATGTGTTAACGAACAACGCTTGTGTACTGCTGATGTTTAATTCTTCTTTTATTTACTGTTTTTCATAATTTATTTGATTGTAATTTTCTTATTTTTTGCACTTTATATGTAACCTTGAATTTTAGTTTATAAATAAAGTTAGATGTTAAAAAAAACGTATAACAACAGTCTTTCTGAGTATAATTAAAGAACTTTCGGTTTAGATTATAAGTTTACCTTATTTAATTTCCACTTGGTGAACCTTCGTCCACATGTCTGAATGAATCTATACGATTCGTCTCTGATTTGTTTTGTTTTGTTTTCATTGGCAATATCTATGCAATTACTAAAATTTCTTGTTTCTATATATAAAGAAGAAACGTTCGTTGTTAACACATGCATCAACAAGTTCATTAGCCCTTCTTCTCATCTCTTTCACTTCTATACTCTCTCCATCCATAAACATTTTCAGCAATTCGTTGATCTCCTTTTTCATTATCAACTAATCCATCTCCTTCTTCTTGCTATTGGTCCTCTCCTCGACTCCTCCACTCATCAACAATCGTCTTTGCATTGGTACTCCCTGAATATATCCCTTCCATTGTCGAATTGAAGTGTGTGATTCCTACCACTGAGACTAATGACTGAAGAAGACTGAACTAACTATATAAATCAAAATATGATTATACTGTATTATTAGAGCCTAAAGAACAAGCCCGCAAGCCCAATATTATGATCCATGTGAGTGTGTTCACATATAAATATGAGTGTTATGCCTCTCATTTATGTAACTTTGGTTGTTTATAGAACAGCCTCATGCAACATTTATGAGATCTATCAAAATCAATATTATCTCTTGAAGACAGCCTAAATCTTATCCGCTTTCTTTCTTTTATTTGCATAATAAAGTTCTCTGAGCTATGTCTTTTTCAGTTTCATTTATGTGTTATTAACATTAACAGTTGATAAGCTCTTTCAAGAGCATGAAACCACTTGTTTGGTTTCTCCTACAAGTATGAATATATTTGCCTTCCACTAAAGGTGTTTTGCGTTCTGAAATCTTAAACTGAATAACCTGTTTTTTTTTTTTTTTCTGTGGTAGCGGTTAAAAACTGTTATCTTTTTCTTTTCTCTACAACTAATACAGTTGGTCTATCATTATTTTGTTTTGTTTTGACGGCAACAAATTGTCTGTACTAGGACTTTAGAAGAGGTATACATAATAAGTGACATGCACATTTATGGCGTCGGGATATGACCAAACTATACTTTAAATAACATGGTCCACCAAGAATCCAATTGCATCAGACTATTGGCTTCGAGCTCCTGATCCCAAATGGAACAACGAAACAAATTTTGATTGATTTGTCTTTTTAGCACTTGAAAGAACATAATTATTTTAGTCTTTTTTTAAGACACTAGCAAAAATAATTTTTTTTTAAAGCATTTCAAATTAACGATTTGATAGTTAGTACAGGTAAGTTTCACATAATGTTAAAAACTCCAAAGACACCGAAGGCATACAGAACAAGGAGCAAAGTATACTATTGACGAACATGAATGAACTTTATGAAGAACTATTGATGACAACGAAACAATTCTGATTTTTGAATCCCATTTTTTGTTTTCACAATTTAATATTGGTCCATTTTTCGTTTTAATTTACAGAGTTTTTCTAAAAGTATATGATAGGGATAACACTTTTAACCTAACCCAAAAAAACGAATTGAAATCCGGAAAACAAAAAGGAACCCAAACCGAATCCAAAATAAAAATCCGATGAGTCCAAGACTTCTTGTAACCCAAGAAAACCGAAATTAAAGCCGAATCGAAAATCGAAAACTGAATGAATACCCGAAAACCCAAAATATAATTACATGTTAAAAATGTATATATAAGTTTAAAATAATTAAATACCTAAATTTACATAATAAATTGAATATATTAGTTATATTTATACCCAAATAGTCTAAATACTCTTACATATCAGAAGGTTAAGTTAAAGGAGTATATGTCAAAATCAAATATACTTTTAAAAACCTTTTTTCGATAATTTTTGTTGCAAAATTTTAATCAAAATCTATTTAAATTAATTAATTAATTAGATTATGAGTCATTTGGGTATCCGAACTCGGGTAAAACCGAATGGAACCCGACCCGAAAGATACTAAAATCCGAATGAGTTTATAGTCCCAATTTCCCAAACCCGAACCACACTCATGTAGATCACATGATAATAATTATAGAAAACCAACACGATGCATGCATTTTCAAATGTAGAAAGTTGATGCGTGTAATTGTTAATCTCTTCGTATATGGTAAAATAAAAAACAAATTGCATCTGCACCGCAGGAAGTCAAGAGTCTCAGATCAGAATGAATGCGAGGACCATTATTAGAGTTTGCTGATGAAACAAAAAAAATCCTTAATTATTTAATACAAGAGTAATAATAATCACTCACAGTTTATGAATCTGTGAGAAAATTGTGATCTGGGAGAGAAGAGAAATCTAAGATCAATGGGTGGCAAATTGGAGTCGTTCGAGGATCACCAAACCAGACAAGGCCTTCTCTCTCGGAAAGGTTGCTCAGATTTCGGCTTCAATGACTCCAGCGTCATCATCGACGACCGTCGCTCCAAGTTCCGGTGTTTCCGCTTTTTCTCCGACGGGATCGTCGCTTCCTGGAAAGCTCTCTACGACATCGCCGCCAAATTGTACGAGATGGGCCGTTCCGATCCCCGGAAACTTTATTTCTCCGTCAAGATGGGAATGGCTCTCGCGCTCTGCTCCTTCGTCATCTACCTCAAAGAGCCACTCCGTGACGCTAGCAAGTACGCCGTCTGGGCGATCCTTACCGTCGTCGTCGTCTTCGAGTATAGCATAGGTACTCACTCCGTAATTTTTTAGATTCAGAGCTGATTTGTGCTTGATGATTGCTGAATGGTTTTTGTGCTTGATGAATTGGACATCAAATTCATAATTACTCAATCAGAAATTGTTTCGTCGTTTTCGTTTGGATCAGGAGCTCGTAGTTGCAATTGGATTCTGTGCTTTATCATAATTACTCAAATTCCGGATTTTGTGCTTGATGAATGGTTTTTGAATGATTGATGTTCTATTAATTATCAAATTTATTGCTTTTTTGTTTGATCTTAGTGATCTCTGATCTGATTTTTTTTTTGCTTTTGGCTCATTTATGTGTAACTCTGTTTTTTTTTTTTTTTTCTGCAGGAGCAACATTGGTTAAAGGTTTCAACAGAGCCATAGGAACACTCTCAGCTGGAGGACTTGCTCTAGGCATAGCTAGACTCTCTGTAGCAGCTGGAGAATTCGAGGAAGAAATCATTATTGTCAGTATTTTCCTTGCAGGTTGTAACCACTTCTCTCAATCCATGTTATAAATTAACCCTTTTTTAATTTATTTACTGACGTTTTCATAAATCCAATTGGTTTGTTGTGTCTATCAGGTTTTAGTGCAAGTTATTTGAAACTCTACCCGGCGATGAAGTCGTATGAGTATGCATTCAGGGTGTTTTTGTTGACATACTGCATCGTTCTTGTGTCCGGAAACAACAGCAGGGATTTTTTCAGCACTGCTTACTACAGGTTTTTGCTAATCCTGGTCGGTGCAAGTATCTGTTTAGGTGTCAACATATTTATACTTCCGATTTGGGCTGGAGAAGATCTTCATAAACTAGTGGTTAAGAATTTCAAGAGTGTGGCCAATTCCCTCGAAGGTATAGCGAGACAGAGAGAGATAGATAGATTACATGGCTCTGTCTCTTGTTTTGTTTTGGGTTTAGGCTGATTTTGTTTGTGGTTTCTTGAACTTTCAGGATGTGTTAATGGGTACTTGCAATGTGTTGAATACGAGAGGATACCTTCAAAGATTCTCACGTACCAAGCCTCGGATGACCCATTATACAGTGGGTACAGGTCCGTAGTCCAATCTACGAGCCAAGAAGATACTCTGGTGTGTTCTCCGTAAGAGTAATTTTGTTGGCAGCACTATAACTTAAAAAGAACTTAGAAAATAAAAAAGTTCCTTCTTTTTTTTTTGCAGCATGATTTTGCAGTATGGGAGCCTCCACATGGACCTTACAGGACTTTCCACCATCCTTGGGCAAACTATGTCAAACTTAGTGGTGCGGTGAGGCATTGCGCTTTCATGGTCATGGCAATGCATGGCTGTATTCTTTCTGAAATTCAGGTAACTTACCATGTTCCTGTTATATCAAATTCTATCTATGGCGTGACACCGAGATTCTTGATGTTTGTGGTTGTGGCTGTACCTTTTTGCAAATGAGGCGCTATAATGATTGTTAGAAACTATGCCCAACTGCTCCAAATGCTACTACTTTACTCTTTCTGATATGTTACTCTAAGAAAGAAGTGTAATATCTGTTATTCAATTGCTTAAAAAGTGCTTGAAACCAAGATAATATCTAAAGAAACAAACCATATTTCTTCAGAGTGTGATCTCCTGTTTTAGAATCTGTTGTTACTAGTGAATAGTAGTCAGTAGGTTTTGCTTACCGTTTGCTCTTCATCTCTAGATTATGACTGGTTAATGAGGAAGATTTTCTGTTATAACTTCAAGGGGAGGTTAAGCAAAGAGATTGTTATTTCCAATCGTTATGCACATATTACGCAATTTACACTCTTGAGAATCTCCACTCATCTAGTTCAAAAGTCTCTTAAAACTAGTGATATCAAATGGCTGTGTGATTTGCATTCTGCAGGCAGCTCCAGAGAAAAGACAGGCTTTCCGTCAAGAACTTCAGAGAGTTGGAAACGAAGGAGCCAAAGTCTTGAGGCTGTTTGGAGAAAAAGTGGAGAAAATGGAGAAGCTAAACGCAGGGAACATTCTGAATGAAGTTCAACGAGCAGCAGAGGAACTGCAGATGAAGATAGACAGCAACTCTTTCCTTCTTGTCAACTCAGAAAGCTGGGCTGCTATGAAAGAGAAAGCCGATGCTGAAGAAGCGCAACAAAACTATCACGAAGCCAAAGACGACGAGACCAAAGTGATCCAATCCCTCAGCCAGATCTGGGACAGTAACAACAATAGCAACCACCATCAGAATCCAAACGCTGGTAATGACTCTCAGGTATGGATCTCTACAGAGAGTATGATGCTTAGGAACCGTGAACACTGGCCAAGCGTCTCCTTCATAGGCGGTTCCATGATCAATGAGATTGAGTCTAAAGTATACGAGAGCGCGAGTTCTCTGTCCCTGGCCACATTTGCGTCTCTCTTGATCGAGTTTGTTGCTAGGCTCCAGAATGTTGTTAACGCATTTGAGGAGCTTAGCACCAAAGCCGATTTCAAGGAACCAGTTAGTGAGACACAGAACAAGGTAGAGAAAGCTGGTTTGTGGACCAGACTCAGCAGCTGCTTCCGCTCCAGAGATTAGCAGAACCATTTGCAGTTTATTTATGGATTGAATAGTTGATTTGTATAGACAATTGATATATTTCTTCTGTTTTGGTGGTGAAATAAGTTCGCAAGTTATAAGATTGTATAACTCAACTGCAAAGTTTTGTACTAAGACAGACTTTTGTTTTGTTGAAAAAAACTACAGTTTTCACTTTCAACTGTATCATTTAATCCGGACCAACTGATTTTATCCGACTGATATAACTGAAAAAACCGAAAACTGAAAAAAAAAATGACCGAGAGGTTAAAAAAAGTTGATTAAAGGGTCTGCGGAAATGAAATACAAGAAAAGCCCAATAAGCTACATACGGCCCAATCGGACATTTCCTTGGTTTTTATTTTCTTTCTTCCTCTAATCCTCGGCAAAAATCAAACGCAGAATATCATTTTTCTCGCTCGCAATTTCCTCTTCTCTCGCTCCTCGGAATCTGAAGCAGTTCTCGCCAGACGCCTGGGTCGGTAAGATGATACTTTCTCTTTACGCACCGTAAGATCTCATCTTTACGGCTTCATTTCCGATTCACATTCCCCGCGAATCTACTTCGAGCTGATGAATCTGGGCGCTTCTTCTGTTTCCCATTTCCGATTAACTTCGTAATTTGCGCTGATTTTCTAATTTTTATATGAAAGCAGAGAGTAAATGGATGTAGGTGTTAATATCACTCGAGTGGCCGTAGTTTTTCCAGGATCTGTGATGATTATTCGGATTTATTTCTAAATTATTTTAATCTTCTTTGCTTCGAGATCCGAAATCTTTCTCTCTCTCTTTCCCTGATACATTCGCTTTTGCTTGATCCCTCATTGCAATTTAGCTCTGACCTGGTTAATTACAGTAATGTGTTGCAGCTGAAATTAGGTACTTTCACGTTTTCAAGTTTTCCTCATTTGGGTGTTTTTCTTCATTGCAGTGACTTTATCGAACTTGAGATAAGTTGGGAACAGTATGGCCATGGTAGACGAACCGCTATACCCGATTGCTGTGCTCATAGATGAGCTTAAGAACGATGATATACAGCTACGACTGAACTCGATTCGCCGGCTATCGACAATAGCACGTGCCCTTGGAGAAGAGCGCACAAGGAAGGAGTTAATCCCATTTCTGAGTGAGAACAGTGACGATGACGATGAGGTTCTCCTTGCAATGGCTGAAGAATTGGGAGTTTTTATCCCATACGTCGGAGGAATCGAGCATGCACATGTTCTTCTCCCTCCTCTGGAATCTCTCTGCACCGTTGAAGAGACCTGCGTGAGAGAAAAAGCTGTGGACTCGCTTTGCAAGATCGGGTCTCAAATGAGAGAAAGTGATCTTGTTGACTCCTTTGTCCCTCTTCTCAAGGTTAGATAACGAGACGAGAAATATGTTTTAGCCCTTTTATTAGCTCGTTCAAGTGTTACCAATCAATGCTTTTTTTTGGTATCTTGTAGAGACTTGCAGCTGGTGAATGGTTTGCAGCCAGAGTTTCTGCATGTGGTATATTTCATGTTGCATACCAAGGCTGTACCGATGTGCTGAAGACAGAGTTACGGTCTACTTATAGCCTCTTGTGCCAAGATGATATGCCAATGGTGCGAAGAGCTGCTGCATCTAACCTGGGGAAATTTGCTACGACTGTGGAGTCAACCTACTTGAACGCTGAGATCATGACTATGTTCGATGAGCTTACTAAAGATGGTACTTAATGCTTGAAATATTTGCTCATCACTTAGAAATAGTTTGCAAACAGCATGGTTAATAGATCACTTATGAAACTAATAAGCAAAGTTTGATGAAGAAACCTTTCATAGTTGGATACATAGCTCTTTAGAAATGTTTGTTTCTTATCCGTGCTAATGTTGTTTAAATTTTAACCTTCATTCCAGACCAAGATTCTGTTAGGCTGTTGGCTGTCGAAGGCTGTGCTGCTCTTGGAAAGTTGTTGGAACCCCAGGATTGTGTTGCACGCATTTTACCTGTTATTGTTAACTTCTCTCAGGTGAATTGAGCTTTGCTTTTGCATTCATATATTCATATATCTGCTATTCCATGCCTAGTTTTCGTTGGTAAAAGTTTGCAGTTCTGATTTTTTCGATGCTATATGTTTTGTTTTCTGGGAGCAGGATAAATCGTGGAGGGTGCGCTACATGGTTGCTAATCAGCTATATGAACTTTGTGAGGCAGTGGGTCCTGATTGCACAAGGTACGTGCCTGGGTTTTATTTGCTATCCTTGCTAGATCGAGGCTTCTTTCTTGTAAAACCATTTTGTGATCATCAAGCACATCTAAGAGCGTTCGTTGGAAGTTGTCTTTGTTTTTTCGTACATATAAGAGCCTTGGGTGATGCCTTCATGTTCGTACATGTATCTTATAATTTTGACACGAAACTTATGTTGTGTTATCTCTAGAACGGATTTGGTTCCAGCATATGTGAGATTGCTACGGGACAATGAGGCTGAAGTGAGAATAGCAGCAGCGGGGAAAGTGACAAAATTCTGTAAGCTTTTGGATCCAGAGCTTGCTATTCAGCACATCCTTCCTTGTGTGAAGGTGCATTCTCTATGCTAATAAAATTCCTCAAATTCCATGTAAACTGGCTATTTCATGTCCCCTGTCACGTAATATTCTGATTCTAACTCATGTCCCATGTCTGGCAGGAATTATCATCTGATTCTTCTCAACATGTTCGCTCTGCTCTAGCTTCAGTAATAATGGGAATGGCTCCTATCCTTGGAAAGGTATGAAGTGATAAAGCCAACATTTTTCGCATCTTGGGGCTTAATTTTATTTTATGGTTCTGTTGTACCGGTTCCATATGGTGTTGCAGACCTTATCAATAATTATTAACACGCTAAAATGTTCAATATAGGATTCAACCATTGAGCATCTGCTCCCAATTTTTCTCTCCCTTTTGAAAGATGAATTTCCTGATGTACGCCTCAACATCATAAGCAAGCTAGATCAAGTCAACCAGGTTTGTTGCATCTCTCCTGTGTGCTTAAGATTTAGCTACTTGTATTGGTTCTTTATATTTCTGGTGACTGAATATCGTTTACTGAAGGTTATTGGAATTGACCTACTATCACAATCCTTGTTACCGGCGATTGTGGAGCTTGCTGAGGATAGGCACTGGAGAGTCCGTCTTGCGATAATAGAGTATGTTCCTCTGTTGGCCAGCCAGTTAGGCATTGGCTTTTTCGATGACAAGCTCGGAGCCCTTTGCATGCAGTGGCTTCAAGATAAGGTTTATCTTGACTTCTTGACTTTGGTTCTTTGATGTTGGCAGAAATTTCTCATCCACTTGTGATTCTGGATATTGACACTCTCCTCCTTCTTCAGGTCTACTCTATCCGTGAAGCTGCAGCAAACAACCTGAAGCGCCTCGCAGAGGAGTTTGGTCCTGAATGGGCAATGCAACACTTAGTCCCCCAGGTTTGTTCTAATTAACATATTGTATCCTTCTGTGAAATTCAATTATAATTCTCTTTGAACTCGCAAAAGCTACATATGTTATATTTTATAGATCTCCGAATTGACTCTTTTTATGTAAGCAGGTATTGGACATGGTCAACAATCCGCACTACCTACACAGGATGATGGTTCTACGTGCAATATCTCTAATGGCTCCTGTAATGGGATCAGAAATCACTTGCTCTAAGTTTCTTCCTGTGGTGGTTGAAGCATCAAAAGACAGGTAAGAGCCTTACCGTAAGAGATAGTGTCTTTGGCAAACTCCTTCAATAACACATCTTAGTTTTCACATGTTGTTTGCTCATAACTCTTCTCTGCAGAGTTCCAAACATCAAGTTCAATGTCGCCAAACTGTTGCAATCCCTCATCCCCATAGTCGACCAATCGGTAAGATTAAAAAACGCGCACATTTCTCAAATTTTATTGCGAAAACAAATGGTGATTGTTGGAAACTTAAAATCTTGTCATGTTGGAATGTGTAGGTGCTGGACAAAACAATCCGTCAGTGTTTGGTGGACCTGAGCGAGGACCCTGATGTTGATGTTCGCTATTTTGCAAACCAAGCGCTTCGTACCATTGACGGTACTGTGGAATCCTGATTATTAGTGATATATATAATCCTTAATCCTGAATATTTTTTCTCATTTTGTATGATCGTTATGTTTCTATCATTCGTGTTCTCTGCTGTTCAATTGGTTTTGTTTGTGTAAACGCCAGTTAGTAATATTTTCTTACCTTATAACATTTTCTTTTGTTCCAAGTCTCCTTTCCAATCATTAATGTATGGTTACGTGATTAGGTCCTTTGGCTCTGCGAAAAGATCTTAAAACTTAAACTACAAGTGACAATCTTCAGCTGAAAATGCCACTCTATTAAATTTACATATTCCATCAAAATATTTACCACCGTTTTCGATGGTTATCTTGATCTTTAGGTGTACATAAATTTGAAGAACACAATCTTATATATAATTAGAGAGTTAAAGAGTGTTTTCTCCTCTAAGGCTATCTACAGCCTAATTTTATGGAGATAATAAATCCCACATTTAACTACATATTATAAAACAAAAGACAAAATGATAAATGACAAATATTAACAATAAAATTAATAAATCAATTAATTTATATACTTTTCTGTTATTATATTTCCCTAAAATAAAATATATTTCATATATAAAAATGAAATATCAACTAAGAAAAGTTAATAGATACTGATGACTTATAAAATTTAAAAAACATTTTTCTACATAACTTGAAAATTCAAAATATCTAAAAATAACTATGAAAAAAAAATAACGTGTTTAAAATAATATATGAGACAACATAGATTTTCTAAGAGTTACAAATTAATAAAAATATAAAAATTAAAAGATTATTTGTAAATTTATATAATTTTTTTTGAAAAGGTTTATAATAGAAATAAAAAGAATTATTTTTCAATGTCAAATCAAGTTAAGATCACGGAAAACGGCTCAGACAGAAAATGAAAATGTAGTTCAAAAAATTATTATTGAAAATATCACACCAAAAATGGCAAAGAGCACGGCTCAAAAGCTGACTAGGACGGTGGTTGAGTGTAGTTAAGAGGCAGATGGTTCGGGATGATGTTAATAAGAACTTTGACGAGTTGTTACAAAATCAGAAGGTCGATAATAATTAGAGAAAGGTATAAATTCACTAAACAACTGTTTTTCGTACTAGAAAGATATGCTATCATGCAACTCGATGCACACCACTGGATATAAAAAGTCATATTAAACATTTTTCATGCGACTATGTGAGTAGTTGGACTAACTAAAAATATAGCCACCAAAAGTTAACATAAAACCATCCTAATTTAAATCAACGAATATAAAAAGAAAAACATAAATATTTTTGCAACATTTCCGCGCTTGCGCGAGCTTTATATTCTAGTTGATTTCAATTCGAGCAATAGCTGTCAATAAATGACATCATTTATTACTTTGGACTATGTTCATTAGAAATTCGGATAATTCAATTTTAACTTCAGTGGTGTAGGGAAAGTATTGATATAGTCTAAAGCATGTGGCTTCTTTTGTTATTGAACTTATGAGATTACAACCTTTCCCTTAATTCCGATACTAATTTTGTGATCTTCTTCCCCATAATTTGTTTTTCTACTGAAGACAAAATCAGTACATTACATAAAATTTGATACATTTTTGATCAAACAAATCGTCCACAGCTTCCTATTTCATGATGTGACAAAAGGAAAAGCATGAAACATTAAACAAAATAGTTATATTCTACAGTTATATATCTCCTATTTTCCAAGAGACAATGTGCTGATCAAGCGGTCGTCGTCAAAACTTCACGGGCTCGAGCACTACGGTGCTGGAGACGCCGGTGAAGCATCTCAGACATCTCAGTGAAGAAATCAGCATCCCATCTCTGAATCAACAAAGGATCTTCAGCAAAACATATGTATATCGATGTCACCGCGCTCTCCACCACCACCATTCCTAGACCCACCTGAAAAATAACCACATTGGGCCATCAATGAAACAACAGACTGAAATCATTTGGTTCTTGTATACATTTTTCTTGGAAGATGAAAACTTACAAGAACCATTCCCATCAACATAGCCGTAGATGCAACCATTATAACCCTATCACTGTATTTGATCCAAGCCCACATGCCAATGCAAGAGCCTGTGATGAGTCCTCCAAAGATGGTTCCCATCAGAAGCACAGCACCAGAACAGTCATACGCAACAAGTGCCTCTACACCTGTCGACTGAAACAACTCCCACGCGTCTCTCGCTGATCTGTTGAATCCTTTTCCATACACTCCAATCTGATAATCAACCAAAAAGTTTTTATAATTGCTCATAGGAGAGGAGGGAGATGAAAGATCTTAGTCTCACTGTCTGTAATCTATATACCTGGACATAGGCATACTTGTTGAAAAACCGAACTAGAGTTTCAACTAGATGAAACAAGAAATCAACGCAGCAAAGCAGACATTCGTTTCCACAAATCTTGGATCGGAATCCCCTTATCTGTTACAAAACCAAATGTTATCAAGAACTGCAAGAACAAGAAATGTCTTTAAAAGTACACCAAGATAATCTGGAGAGCACCTCCCAACGAAGTGTCCTAATTGCAGCAGTGAAGAGTGATCCGTAACAAATGCTCCCAAAAGACGTTGTCACGGCGTACCTAAGTGATCCTATCAAAGTGCTAGGAGGCAACGACGATGCCTCTTGTTGACCACATTGAAACAGAACATGAAACACCATCCCAGAAACTATAACATGTACAGTGTTACACAGCACAGCGCCTGTCCAGAACAAGCTAACCGAAAGAACCTGTTTCCAATCATCAAACGAAATCCAAACATGTTACACTCTCGGACTCTTAACAAGCACCAAAACCAGAAGCCGTAAGGTAATAAAACGCAAAAACTTGCCAGCTCACCACAAGAAGCCACCATCGTCCCTCATCACCCATGCTCGATGCCACAACACCAGCTGCCCCAAAAGACCACAGAGACATCCACAAAAGCATGACCACTGTGAAAGCATGCGCCACCATTATCACCTTAGGAAGCCCCCAAACCAGCTTCAGCGCTTTCCGCAGAACCAGCATCGTGAAGGGAAGTCTACACTCAAACCATCAGAATTCATAAGTGTTACCAAACAAACCATAACGGATCAATCATACTCAAAACCTCTCACGCACCTGTCTATAACTGAAATAACATACAAGAACTGCAAGAGAGCTCCAATGGCGAATGCACCTCCCCAAAAGAACTGTCTGCACCAGAAACACAGCACGCTAACTACAGCTAAATAGGTTGTCAAGATGTGAACAGAGACTTTCATCATCTCATTGGCGTAGGAGCCGAGCAGCAACGACCACATCCAACTGATAAAGACTCCAATCGCACCAGCAACAGCGTAGAGTGGCCAGTAGTCCTCGGTGAGTCCTTTATGATTCTCCAAGAACCCATGAGTGTATCTGTCAATGTTTAACCTATCTGGTATCCTAAACCTATTGAGCCCAAGCACAGCGAGTACGAATCCCAGACAGATAATGTGGATCATGAAGATGGCTGACCAGAACACATCGTGCCAGTGACGAGACTCGAGGACAATGGCTCGGTTTCCATCTCCACTCCTTCGACTCCGCTGAAGAGACTACAAATCAAAAATGACAACAAAAAAACACAACTTTTGAGAGCTTTGCTATATATGATTGCTTTTACATAAACAACGACCATGAATCATCTTTTGCAGTACAACGCAAACACGAGAGAGACATGATTTTCATTATGAAAAGAAGTGATTTTGCGACTGACCCATGACTAAAAGTTACGAAATTGAAGTAGCCAATTGCTCAGAAAATGTGAGAAACAATTTCATTCAGATGTGAGTTCGTGAAGATCTTGCTCGAAAAAAATAAAGACTTTATGCAATGAAGTAATCTAGAATGCAAAACCCAGAAATGGGTTCTCAAATCAAAGACAAAAGCTTATACGTTTCTGAACAAAAGTGAATCAAATCAAAGTAGAAACAGATATTAGTAAAGAAACCCAGATCGAATTTTGAGAGAATGGGTAACCTGATCGCCGGAAGAGATGGAGGCGTAATCGGAGGAAGGAGAGACGCTGTTGGTGGAGTCACTCATGACGAAGTAGGAGCAGAAGATTCACTGAAGATATTCAATTTTCATGGAAGCATCTTTGAATAATATCACAGAGAAAAAGAGAGAGAGAGAGAGAGAGAGAGAGAGAGAGAGAGAGGAGCGAGAATAGTCAAAATGAGGGGAAAAGGAAGCGTGGGAAAGGGATTGAGTAAGGAGAGTAAGGAGGACGTCGCCGGCGAGAAAATGAAGTTTTGTCAGCGAGTGAGTAAATTCAGAGAGAGAGAGCGGTTCTTCTTCTTCGTCGTCTTTACTTTTATTGGATAAGAAGCGGAAATGGTTTTCGAGTGGTCGTTTTCGGATCACTCTTTCTCCCTCCGTAACTATTCCCTTTTTATTTTCTTTCTCAAATTGTTTCTTTATTTGTTCATTGCTTTGTTCTGTTTTTATACTACAACTGTCTCTAAATTTTACTCAAAATGAATACTTCTTAGATCTTATAATACTCCCAATTTAATTATATGGACGATAGTCTACGCACAATTTGGCTTAACTTTTAAAGTATAGTTAAGCGATGATCATTTAAATGTTTGTGTTTGTCTATACAAATTGTAATCATTTTGTAAAATTTAAGTTCTATACAAATTGTAATCATTTTATAAAATTTAAGTTAGGGCATCAACAGATGGAACCAAAAGCTGCTGTTTCTTTAATCTCCTCGGACTGAAAGAGTTTAAATCAAATTTCAATTTTGGTTATAACTGAAAAGGTAAAATTCTTATTTGTTTAAGCTTGTTAGGATTATCGCCTTAAGCATTTCTAATTAAACTTTTCGGTCTCTAAATGTATCCAACTTTATACATAAACTTTCTATCGAGTAAATCAAAAGTTAGAATATCAGCTCAATGGACAATCGCTTCAAAGTCCTTTAGTGGTAGATGTTCTAATATACTCATGTAATGTATATCTCTCATACGAAAAAAAAACATTCAGATATTTAAGTGTTTCCCATGTTTGTTCAGAAACAAAGAATTTGGCCAGGTTTTTTGTTTTTTTTGCTCTTATGGAGTAAGTTTTATGTCTAGCATACAACTGCGAAAGTAAAGGTGTGTTTTTTGGATGAAAAAGGAGAAAGTAAAAGGTTGACATCAAAAAGGAGAGAAAAGGGAAAAATAAAAATAAAGTTGTTTAAGACAAAATGATTGACCCCAATGCTGCCACTTCATTTCTTGTGATGGCAAAGTGGTGGCATCATGTCTTCGCCACCTCTGTGAGCCATGTTACTCTTTTTTTTTTTTTTTTTTTCTTAAAAACAAATTAAACAGAATGCCTTACTGAGTGAATTTATGCAGAGAAAATCATCTTAGTTTAAATCTGACATCTTAGTTTCGTGTAACTTCATCTTGGTAACTTGATCACTAAACAGATACAGTTTTTGAGTTCATTTATAAGCTAGAATTGTTAATACTGATACTATTAGAGTAGTATCTAGAAGATAAAGTATAGGAATGAATAAACTATGCTCTTACAAAAATAAAAAATAAAATAAATAAATAAAACAAAAAAAAAGGAATGAATAAATTATCATGATCCATAACATAAACCGCAAACAAGCTTTTACAAATTTGCATATACATTTTTAAAGATTCATGTCATCATTTGCATACACTGATATTCGGGTCTTAGCAAACACTAACGAGATTACTACACAATGTACGTTTAGGTCTTTCTTCTCGTTGCTTTTTTATTTATTTTTATGATAACACAAAATTATATTTTTCGAGTCTATTATTGTATCTTGGAGGCGTTTTTTGATGATAACTTAATTGGAATATAAGAATCTTGCATTTGTAAACAAGCAGCTCTGAAATGATTACATCCCGCAAATATCATAACTAAAAAAAGTTGTCGAAAACAAGAGAAAAAAATAAAACAAAACAAACTTCAATGACTAACTGCCTCAAGACTGGTACGAGAACGTACCTTCCCTGGCACTTCAATTATAATTATCTCCACATTTCTAATCTTTTTTTTTTATGAAAAGGGAGGCTAATCAAATTAGCATACATATAAGTATTTATATAATATTTCTGTTTTGTTCATTCCTCTATCGACTATCTTTATATTATTAATTGAAAAGTACATTCTAATGTTTGGATACAAAAATTAGAGAAACGTCTATTTAGATAGAATAATAAATAGAAACAAAAGTTGTTTGGATATAAAAATAAGAGAAAAAATTATTTAGATAAAAGAATAAATGAAAAAAATTGTTTGGATACAAGAATAATAACTTAAAATAAACCGATGGTTTAGAAAACTTCCGTTTAGAGCTCTTAACTAAGTTATTATTCTTGTATCCAAACAATTTTTTCCATTTATTCTTTTATCCAAATAATTTTTTCTCTTATTCTTATATCCAAACAACTTTTATTTCTATTTATTCTTCCATCCAAATAGATGTTTCTCTAATTCTTGTATCCAAACATTAGAATGTACTTCTCAATTAATAATATAAAGATTAGATGAGGAAAGAGCAAAAAAGAAACCCCAACTCATTCTTTCTGGGATTTAGAAGAGATTCTACATTGCGTCGGCATAAACTATTTTGAAATAAAAAAAAACTAAAAATTTATATCATTTGAAAAACTATCAAATTATACTCATTAAATATTCATACCAAACCAAATGTATTAGATAACTACTTTATTGTTTATATATCATTTTATTCAATTTCATTAATTCTTGTCTTTCAAATCTTTCATGAGTTTTATCCTACTCCAAAACATTATTCATTATTATACAACTTTCATGTATGCAAAAATTAACTAAACTCCGACGATCTCATTTTTTCTTTATTGTCTATGTCAAATTCTTCTTTTTCCGTTTCTTCCGATTTTTCTTCGTCTTTTTTTTTCTTTCTATTTTTCTTCTTCCTTGTATTCTCATTCTTCTTCAATTAATTTATCGTCTTCGTATCACTTGACTCTCTTTGATTGTTCGTTTTCCCGAATTATTTCCTCTTTCATTACTAACTTTTCTTTTCTAACTTTTTATTCTTCTCGTTTTTATTTCCTATTTTTCCAACTTTGACTTCTTATTCTTTATGTTCGTGTTATCTTTTTTCCTCCTTCCTCTTCATCATCTTTTTTTCTAGTGGTTTTATTCACCTTCTCGGCTTCTTCTTCGTCTTTTCTGTATGCGGTTAATTATTCCTCTTCTTTTTCTCCAACGATCTTAACTTCTTTTTTTCTCTTTTTATCGTCTTTTTCTTTTCTGTTTCTCTTTTTCATCTTCTCATTCTTGTTGGTGTTCTTATTTCATCCTTCTCATCTTCTCGGATGTCTTCTACTTCTTTATTTTTCTGGTTTTTCTTTATTTATGTTTTTCGATATTTCTTCGTTCTCAGTATTTCTTTACTTCTTATCACATTCGTCTTCTTCAGCTTCTTATTGATCCGCTTTTTGTTTCTAGGTAAATTGGCTAAATTGAAGGATAAATAGCAACTCGCTGTAATATATTTTTTGGATAAGAATTTTTTTTGACAACTCTTTTCATTTTGAACTAAATATTTTTGCTTAATTTGTTATAATTGTTGTTGTTGTATAAAAATTCACTTGAAATTTTAAGAATAAGCAGTGCTATTATTTTTTCGATATGATTTGAGCAAAAGATTAAACAATATAGTTGTTTTTCTATTTCCCTTTTCATTAGAATTTTCAAAGACTAAAGTTTTCTTTTTTTTTTATTAAAATTCTCAAAAACTAAGGATTTAAAAAACACACAAAACTAAACCCTACACCCACCAATATAAACCCTAACCCACCAATATAAACCCTACCTTCGTATCACTTGACTCTCTTTGATTGTTCGTTTTCCCGAATTCTTTCCTCTTTCATTAGTAACTTTTCTTTTCTAACTTTTTATTCTTCTCGTTTTTATTTCCTATTTTTCCATCTTTGACTTCTTATTCTTTATGTTCATGTTATCTTTTTTTCTCCTTCCTCTTCATCGTCTTTGTCTGATCTGTCATTTTTTTATTTTCTAGTGGTTTTTATTCACCTTCTCGGCTTCTTCTTCGTCTTTTCTGTATGCGGCTAATTATTCCTCTTCTTCTTCTCCAACGATCTTAACTTCTTTTTTTCTCTTTTTATCGTCTTTTTCTGATTCATCTTTTTCTTTTCTTTTTTGTTTCTCTTTTTCATCTTCTCATTCTTGTTGGTGTTCTTGTTTCATCCTTTTCATCTTCTCTATGTCTTCCACTTCCTTATTTTTTTCTGATTTTTCTTTATTTATTTTTTCGATATTTTTCGTCCTCAAGTATTTCTTTACTTCTTATCACATTCGTCTTCTTCAGCTTCTTATTGATCCGCTTTTTGTTTCTAGGTAAATTGACTAAATTGAAGGATAAATAGCAACTGGCTGTATATATTTATAGCAAAATTCCTGTATCAAATTCTTAAACCACTGTCGATTAAGAATTTTTTTTGACAACTCTTTTCATTTTGAACTAAATATTTCTGGTTAATTTGTTATAATTGTTGTTGTTCTACAAAATTCACTTGAAATTTTAAGAATAAGCAGTGCTATTATTTTATCGATATGATTTGAGCAAAAGATTAAACAATATATTTTTTTTTCTATTTCCCTTTTCATTAGAATTTTCAAAGACTAAAGTTTTCTTTTTTTATTAAAATTTTCAAAAACTAAGGATTTAAAAACACACACAAAACTAAACCCTACACCCACCAATATAAACTCTACCTTCTAAACCCTAACCCACCAATATAAACCCTACCTTCGTATCACTTGTCTCTCTTTGATTGTTCGTTTTCCCGAATTCTTTCCTCTTTCATTAGTAACTTTTCTTTTCTAACTTTTTATTCTTCTCGTTTTTATTTCCTATTTTTCCAACTTTGACTTCTTATTCTTTATGTTCATTTTTTTTTCTCCTTTCTCTTCATCGTCTTTGTCTGATCTGTCATTTTTTTATTTTCTAGTGATTTTTATTCACCCTACACCCTAAACCCAAACCCCACATTATA